GAACGCATTCTATCGTTAAACCGGGTCCGTAGGACATTTATCATTTTAACGATAGAACATTCTATCTAGGGGCCCGACCAGTTTTGGGTCGGAGTAGGGGCCCAAAGCCACATTAAAAAATGATTTATTAAATCTTGTGTATATTTTGGATACAAAAAGGAGGCAGGCCCCCGGAACCTCCTCTAAATCTGCCAGTGTTTTTTTTCATTATTAGTCAGCCCACGGGCTGACTATTTACGGTGGGATGAAACTGCAAGTGCGCTTGCGTAATTTGGAAATCTGGGGAAAAGATTTACACCTTACTCCAACCAGAGGGCGTGCTTCTTCACACACAATACAGTCTATAAATAGATCGAGGCCGTGAGTGTGCTTCGTTCTCGACGAAAAATTAAAGACATAGATTGTTCTAAGTAGGAAATTTGCGCTGTTTTATATAATTCTATGAAAATATTTCAGTGTTTCTTATAAAAGATGCGAAGTTTGTATGTTGAGCACATATAACAATTGGATATATATAAACCCTCAATTGCCGTTGCAAGTCAAGGATTTGTGTGTACCTGATGCAAGACTCCCGCGATCAATACCTTGCATAAGACATGTACGGGGCTACAAAGGTCCCAAAACAGTGAAAAAATCTCTTTTCACTTTAATGATGAAAGTTATGAAAACATCAGAGATAGATTTTTATAATTTACATGATGATGAAAAAATGACCACAGTAGAACTGCGATAGTTGAGAGAAACTGCGCGAATTTATAGACAGGAACCCCCCCCCCCCCCCCAACGAGAAAGAGTGAGAGAGATGAAATCCAGTATGTTAATTAATCTAGTTTTGGTTTGATGGTAGACATCATCAGTTACATTTTAGGGTATATACGCACTGCATGTATAAACATATTTTCATATTTTGAATTTCCAGTTTGAATTGTTTTCCATGGCTTTCACTACCTTATTCTGGAAGCAATTCTTTTCTTTCTTAATAACACTAAAATGGATGCTTAAACTAAGAAATTGATTTAAATATACATGTACTATGCACCCCCCCCCCCCCATCATGCATTGCCTGGAACTCGCACGATTAAAAACTTTTATTTGATAATAATTAAAACAAGCTAACCCAAAGTCTATCTTCTTTTTCTGTATCACTATCTATATCATTTATAGAATTTAACAATGAAAATGTACGAGGGTTGTTAAAAACGCGAACTTTTTAAACATAAACTACCTGACCAAAATTATTCATTTTTGCATAAAGTTGGGAAATTATTTTTTTGTAATTTTGGCTAAACATAACAAGGTTTCAATGCCATTTGCATTTTTAAACATCATTCAATGTGTTAAATATCGGTGGCCGGCGCACGGCAATTTCTTGACATTCAAAAATAGCATTGACAGCAATGTTTTCTTTATTACCAGGCTATACGGATATATAATGTGACAAAAATTATAGAAACTTTATGATCTAGAGTACTCGTGTGTAAAAAAAAAATCAATACTCTGACTTCATAAATAACAAAAATATTACGTTATATTCACAAACACTTATACATGTAATTAGATATTGCTAAAAATGGCAATGTCGAGCGATAATGCGGTGCACCAAATTATCACTATGTGTTGTGTGGAGCGGGGTTTGACTCCTGTTCATACGGAAAAAGAGCTGGGAACGAGGGAACGACACAAATACATGTATCGATCACAGGTTCGTACATAGTAAAAGAGGTTCAAATATGAATGGACTGGTTATCCGATGGAAGATGCGTTTGGTTGACCAACAAAAAAGACGATAAACTGAAAAGGCTAGAGCTGGACGTCATGCATGGAGACCATCGTTAAGTATTCGAGCAGTTAGGTTTATGATCGGGTTTGGGAAATTTTTTATTAAAAGAATTTAATCCTTGATTTATTCTTAACTGCAGTACACGTGTGAAATAAATAACTCGGTAACTAAAAGAAAATAAAATGCACTATCGAATTTATGCATAAACGATTTTTTAAAGACGCACGATTCCTGAACAAATTCAAAAACTCCACGAATTACGTTCTGACGTCGTCGGTGTTGCGCCGGCAGCTGTTTTGAATGATTCCTTTACCAAAATAAAAAAAAATCTATTTATAGATATTATTTACTGAAATTTCTGTGAATTATTTCAAAAATGTTGATTTTAATGCATGCCAATTTTTAACTTTATAATATTAGTGAAACAAAAAATATTGAAAATGTTCGCGTTTTTTTTTTTTTTGGACAACCCTCGTATACATCCGTCAACGTTCAATGACTGGGCTCTAACTGGCTTTGTTCATTTCTGAGACGAACTTTCTCTGATGTCCGCGCCCAAGAGAAATTAATTGGAGGTCATTATAATGATCACGATGTAGTCTAACTAAAATTTATTCTATGCTTTATTATTTATACAACATTGTGTTCCAAGTAAGAAAACGATTAGGCGAATTTAATGTAGATTACAATGACTTTTAAGAAACACAACATGATGAATAAAACAAGTCATATACCATCACAAAGCATGAAAGAAACTTTCTGTATTCCAGTGGCTGACTCTCAGCTTTTTTTAAAAAGCTAACCTTGTAAAGACTTACAGAATAAGCGAAATACTCCAGACATTTAATAAAAATCTCGAACCCGAACTAAAACGCGTTGACAAAGTCAAACCAGGCGGTCTTAGTTTTTATGGCATTTTTACAGTGATATGCGAAAAGTCTGATAATTGCTGTTAATTTTAAGAAATAAAAAAGTTCGTCATTTTTCAACCTCGTTCGGTATAATATAATTTACCGATAATTTTTTCCGTTAAGGAGGAACACTTGCACGAAGGATAAAAAAAGCGGTATTCTGTATGTACACTGACACATCATTGCTATTGTGTACTCGGATTAAACCCAAAATCCTTTGTAACATTGTATTGGGTAAAAAGCAAATAAAAATTTAATATGAAATGTTATCGTTAGAATAATAAGAGTTATATGGGCCACAACGCTTACCTGATACACATTGCTGTTCCTCAGAAATGTTTAGGACTTTTACCCTCTTTATTCTCATAAAAGAATTTGACAAACCGAATATTGTGGCACCAACTTAATCCTGGCTTTACCCAATCAGGATCAAAACATTTGGATGTTCTGATATCAATATTACTAACACGGCTTTTCTGTTCCACCTAGAAAAGTTTTTTAAAGTATTTTTTTTCTGAACACATGCAATATATAAATAAAAAAAATCTTCAGTTTTAGCCTTCCTCCTAACCCCAGGGTCCATAATTTAACAAAAGTTTATATAACATAGGTATAAATGCTTATTAATTTTATTTAATTTAGCCCTGTCGCTATTGAAAAGATTTGTTCTTACATTCTTCATTATAAAACTCTGATACCCAGTCGTAGACCCACCCTAACCCTGGGGACCATGATATGATAAAAAACTTGAATCTACACTTCCTGAAAATGTTTCAATATAAATGTGACTAATCATGACCAATCTGATCTTCAGAAAATGATTTTTAAAGATTTTTTTCTATATATTTCCATGTAAACCTTGAAGCACTATTGTGGCCTGATCATATACTTGTTCTGAACAAAGTTGAATCTACACTACCCGAGGAAGCTTCCTTATCCCTAGCCTGCTGTTCATGAGCTGAAGATTTTTAAAGATTTTATCCCCTACATATTCACACTAATTTGAATTTTCACTACCTCAGGATACCTGCCTAATAATATAACTTATCATGGCCCTGCTTCTCTTGTGAAAAAGATTTTAAAAATTTTACCCTATTTTTATGTAATTATGTTTATCCCCTATTGAGCCCCTACCGTATCCCAAGGGGCCATGATTTGAACAAAAGTAAATCCACATTATGTCAGGAAGCTTTCATATGAGTTTCATATTATCTGGCTCAGTTGTTCATGAGAAAATTTTTAAATGATGCCCCTAATTATCTTCTTATTCTTAATTATATCCCCCAGAAAGAAGGCATGGCTTTTCGTTTGAACAGTGGTAAATCATCTTCACCAAAGAATGTTTTGCGACATGTCTGATTGAAATTGGCTCACTGTTTCTGAAGAAGAAGTCGAAAATGTACACGGTATACAGACGACTTATGACAGACGGAGATCATTAAACAAAAAAATCTTACGTGAGCCTCCACTCAGGTAAACTAAAAAAGGAAAAAAAAACTCTAAGCTTGTATATTTACAGGCCCGTAGAACGCGGGGGGAGGGGGTGCAAATATACAAGCTTCAGACTTTTTCTTAGTATAGTATTTTGCTACGCATAGTAAAATAGTAAATTTTCATTTAGATGCTGGTTGCCCCCCCCCCCCCACACACACACACTTTTTGTTGCTGTAAGAAAATTCCAGGATTTGGACAGGTAATGATTATGATTATTTTTTGATCGTCAGATTGTTTTGGAATGTTGCCCCCCCCCCTCCCCTAGTTTTTAGTAAGTTTTTTTGCCTCCCCCCCCCACCAGCACTTTTGAAACCGTTCTAACGGGCCTGATTCGTTTGTGTATCAAATGGTCTCTCATTTTCTAATTCTTAAATAGCTGCGTTGTGCATTTTAACAACGACCAAATTAGGGCATGTAAAAAAAAAACGAACATAGATTTTGAACTACAAATCTGTGTCTACAACCTTAAAGATAAAGCATTCAGTACAAAGTTGATTCTTCAATGATAACGATCTCGTGAATATTGCATAGCCTGCCGCGAGGAGATCATTGTAGCCGAAAAAGTTTTTATTTCTCATAGCAAAGGTGAAAATTATTTCCATTGTCTGATAAAATCGAGGAAAGACCCTTCCACTCTTACAGTTTATACAGGTATATAATGCAATAAATCTGACTAATTTCCTTCTTGGAAGTCATATCCAATGCCCTGGCACATGAACAAAGTCAATAGAAAAAAAATCATCAATACCAAAAATTGTGAATACTTTACGAATATTTGTGTTGTAGCGTCCACACTTGGGAGCAGATATACATAAGAAAATTGAATGCAATTTTCGAGTAATTGAAAAGATATCATGCACCGGGTGTTACCTTTTTATCTGCTCGTTCTAGCTTCCTGGATAAATAACACGGAATCGGGAAGTGGTAAGTTTTTTTTTTTAATTTTATTTATTTTTTTTAAATTAAATATTAACTTGTATATTGTTGGATGGAATGTTACACCCTGATTTGTTGTGGATGGGCTTCCAATCGCTCAGATAGAATTTTTCAGAATGGAAGATGGTGACATAATAAAATTAAATGCAGTATTTATTTATCTGATGAAAGTAATTTATATTCATATAATTAACGTTCACAATTCATGATGCCCATAATTTCCGAGTATATAAAAATATGTTTAACCCTGTGTATTCTAATTTGCATATCAAGAAATAATGATTTTAATCAAACAGTCCACTCAATTCCTCAATTAAATACCAAAATTTACTGTTTATTTATTTTATAATTAATTGATATCGAGGTTTTTTTTTTTCAAAATCTCTCTCTCTCTTCCATTCAAATGTCGACTCGATATATTCCAGTGAACTTGAAATAAAAGATACCTGACACGTCTGTTTTCATATTTGGACATTTTACTAGAAAAAGACGTTAACGGTAACCTAACAAGAAAACTTCATGATAAACGTGATGAATCCAACTTTTCTATCGTCAACTTCCCTTACTTATGTGGCAATATGTACATATGGAGTTTATGTTTCCCAGTTGATCCGATTTGCAAGAGCATGCTTTACGTGCGAACAATTTCTAAAACGAGGCAAGTTATTGACAAACAAGTTGATGAAACAAGAATATCAAGTCTCGTTTACCGCCATCATGGTCGATACAATGGCCTTGTCAGCAAAAACAATCTATCATTAAGTTGAATGCTGACTGACGTTTTTCATACCAACTGTTGGGGCCATTATTTATACACATTGAATTGTCTACGGATTTTCCCGTTTTCCCCATCATGACAAGGAGCACACGGCGGGTGTGACCAATCGGTAGGGGATGCTTATTCCTCCATGGCACCTGATCTCACATTTGATATTCTAAGAGGTCCGTATTTACTCTGCTCCTGATTTGGATTTTTTTGGACTTTTGAACTTGATTACTGTTAAATCTCCATATTTGATGTCGAATTTACGTCATTTTTGACAACATAACTAACTTATGACATCACGATTGATAAAAATGTTTAATGCTTAGATGTCTGCATATATATCATCATGGCTAATTAAGGGATGTTTTTAAGTTTTGTGTAAATCACACAGATATGTCACATAAGCATCTTTTTCATGAAGTGCAAGTAGGCATATTTCATGAAGCGCGTTAGCAACGTGCAAGTCTGTGTGATTTACACACCAATAATTTACACTAATAAAAAACAATATCCTTATATTTACATTTAACATTTTTAAAAGCACCGAAAATATACTCAATGTTTGAATTTCTTGCTGCCCTATATCGTTCTATTCTTATATTAATAAGCTACATTGTGACGTCACTTTAGTGCGAGATTCCCCCTATAAATATAATATTTTTCGCTTGAGCATAGGCCTAAAGCAAGGTCTGTGGCTTGAATTTGTACACGAAGATGGCATTCAAATCAATTCCATAGTTGTTTAAGTAGTAAAACACAGCATATGTAAATATAAGAATTTAATGTTCAATGCGTCAAAATGTCCAGATTGAATATAAAACCTATCAGCTCAACAACTGTATTTTATTATTAGTATTTAAAACGTGGAATTTAGCTAACATAAATTTTTCGATTTTATGTCCTTGTTATGTTTTGTTTTCTACTGAACTGTCTACGGATTTTTCCGGTTTTTGTTTCCCGATCATGACAAGGAGCGGGTGTGACCGGTAGGGAGGGGATGCTCATGCACTCCTCCATTACACCTGATCCCACCTCTAAATTTTGAGGTCCTTGTTTGCTCTGCTCCAAATTTGCATCTGTAGGAATTTAGGCTGGACTGAGGACATCGGCCTGGACAGCTCAGTGGTTAGAGCACCTGACTAGTAATGCAGGGGTCCCGGGTTCGATTCCCAATCCAGACATATGTTTTTCATTATATATATATATATATATATATATATATATATATATATATATATGAATTTCAATGTATATTAACTCATTCCTCCTTTCCATACTACACATCGTTTCATTGGACTTTAGAGATTGAATACTGTTCATTATCTTCATATTCATTTCTCTTTTGCAAAACCCATGTTAAGAAAACGGAATCGAAAGTGAGAAAAAAGAAATTCAGTCATTTTCACAATACACAAAATAAACTATCCTGATACCAAACTTCTATATGACCTTGAATGTTATAATCACTTCACTAGAATAGGTGACACAGAGCGTGTGATGGTGAAGCATTATAAATGTTAAAAAGGTAACAGGTGATAGGAAGTCGGCTTCAGGCCAGGTATTTATCTAATTATGTCTGTCTACACTGTGGTATGAGTAACACGGAGCCATATCTTATCAATCATAGAAATTTCATATTTTTTGATTTGAAGAAGTTTGTACTACTGCTTTCCTCTACATCCACATTAAAACATATTATTTATCATTGTCGACCTGTTATATCAAGATTAAAACAAATATATTAAAGTACAGAGCCCTCCCCGCAAGGAGAATTTATTATTTTCACAGTTATTATCTGTATTTACAGGAAACTTTATTGATCAATGGATTGTTTGTAAGAGTTTATGTTCGTCCAGATTTAATCAAATCCATATTTGTGGTCGTACTTTTTTTATGGGAAAGAATAATATTAGTAATTTGATTTCTCTAATAACAAAATATTTTTTTCGTTGAATATTTTTATTTAGCATGGACAAGCTAAGTATTACTGCTCTTCATTCCTATACAACCTATTTTAAATTTAAATTATAATTTTATGAAGGGTACTTTTTTCTCGCATTCATGCCTTAATTTCAAGTTTAGTAAATATTTTGAAAAGAAAAATCAATTCAACTTCTCATTAATCTTCATTTTTTCCTAGTTGAAATATATCTGAAGTTAGGTTTCTTATAAGATAATAACATTTATTGGCTTTTCGACATGTAAAATCAAAGAGAATATCTAATCTATTCATCCTTTCCATCCAAGGGAATGGTATTTATTTAGATGATAGGCATAAAAGTGGCACACTTATTGAATGCCAATAACCAATATAATATGTCCTTCACGCGATTCTGCACTGATATAATCCTATTTTATTATTCTAATAAACAAAATCTTATTTATTGGCTCCTTTCAAATCAATTTCTGCTGAAAATGTGTTCAAAATACCCGCGCAGAGACAAATTTGATCTTTCGTGAAAATTAGCTGATAGAAATTAGAACTACATGTATGCTGACTGGAGATTGTCAAATTTTAATCTGGACAAACATTTTCTTTTTAATGTCTCCTGTGTACGCGGGAGGAGGTAGGCTATTATCGGGAGTTTATATTTGAAGATTTCAGAAAAAAAAGTTAATTTATTAGCTGTTGTCATTTTTCCCAAAAATTCACAATCAAATTTTTGACTTCACACTGTTTTGATTCAGACCTTGTTTCTAATGAAGCTAATGGTTTTATTGATGTACACAAAAAGACTTAAATAAAACTGTACTTAATAATAAAAACAGAATGATAACATATCAATTAGTTGATATACATATATTTACATTTACATTAGCTTAACCCATCTGTCTTCTTTCACCACTCGGTAGAAAAACTTGACTATATATATATATATATATATATATATATATATATATATATATATATATATATATATATATATATATATATATATATATATATATATATATATATATATATATATATATATATATTGAATAATAAACAGACTTTTCGAATACCTCGTAATATTCAAGAGAAGAAATCTTATTAAAATATTTCCCATGATTTAAGGCATTAAAGATTTTTTCAAATTGTTTGACTGTCTGAGTCTAGAAATGTGCAATGTGTCTGTAAGTAGAAACATCTTTAAAAAGGGTAAATTGTATAAAACATGAAGTTACATTGGGGTTTTAGGTTCGACACATTCAGAGTCAGTTATATCAAAGGCTAAAGAACGCTGGTACATCATTGCAGTGTCGCCCGCGTGGCGCAGTGGTTAGAGCGTTCGCTCTAGAGTCGCGGAGTAAGGAGTTGATCCTTACGTCGCGGGTTCGAATCCCACTGTGGGACGTGGAGACTGGTCCTTCGGATGAGACCGTATAAACCGAGGTCCCGTGTCGCAGTAGGTGCTGGCACGAAAAAGATCCCTCACTGCTCAATGGCCCTAGGCGCCGAGTATAGGTCAATTTTTGCGGCTCTCCACCGGCAAGTGGTGGCGTCTCCATATGAGTAAAAAATTCTCGAGAGGGACATAAAACACTAAACAAACAAACAAAACATCATTGCAGATTTATGGCCAATTGCGAGATGTCAAATATCAGCAACTGAGTACTGAGTTTGTAGGGAATTTCAACACATCCAGTAGAGAGAAAAACCAAACAAACATCGTTTTAATGAACATTCCCTTAAGATACAGGGATAACATATTTTCTTGTCTGTTAGATTCTATGAATTTCAAAAGTATGTTTAATGTTTTGGGAAATGATCGTCTCTATCTTTCTGCATGATATTCAACTGTATGTTTAATTTTATAGGTAATGAGTGGGGCTATGCACCTGGAATTGGTAAGTAGATTCCTATTAAATGAAAATTAGAAAATCATACCTATGTGATCTGTTTAAGTTTCAGAAAATTTATTTACTCTGGAATTCCTGCTGAAAAAATTTAAATACAGTGTAGAATAAAAGTCTACTATATCATAAAACTAGTTGACAAGTAAATGATATGTTCAAGGTATGACTTTTTTAAAATCAAAGATTAAAATAAGCTTTCGTTTAATATAATGATGCAAAATAAAATATAATATAATAATTCATTTGATATAATGATGAAAAAGCATATAAACTTTGGATATTTTGGTAGTTAGGTGCTGATAAGATGCTTGTGTTTAAATGAATATAAATGACCGTTCTTCGAATGAAAAAAAGGCTTTAGAGTTCATGTCTGATCATATTTGAACACCACCTTCTTTGAAAAAAAAAAGAACGCTAAATTCAGAAGGAATACATTGTATTTAGCTGACGGTACGCTGTCAATTGAACATCACAAAGCTCTTGGTTGAAAATATAATCCATGGGAATGAGAGAGTTGTCATGTTTTTTTTCTATGAAATGTGAAGATAACAAACAGTACTTATGCTCAAAAAGTCTAACTAAACATTACAAATTCAGAGCAGAGCAAACAGGCACCCCTGAAAACATCAGAGGTGATCAGATGCCATGTCGACCGGTCACACCCACCGAGCCCTTTGTCTTGATCGGGTACCGTAAACAGTATAGTATGAAAACGATGGCCTAATACTAGTAATTTGTATTACAAGTTTCAAGTAAAACTAACCATAGGTTGCATTTGCAAACAAGTGCATTTTATTGACCATAGATTTTGAGATATTTTTCTTTTCAAACGAGATTGCAGATATCCTGGTAACGTCAACGTGTTAATCAATATCCTGCCTAGATTTAGAACGCAGAACAAGCTCTTATTTATCGAATCAACTGGATGGTATTAACAAAATCTGCAGGTGATAATGATATATTGCTACATAAATAAGGGACTCTGGTGATAGAAAAGTTAAAGTCATTACGTTCATAAAAAAGCGGACAACTAGCCATCAACCAGCCGTGAGGTGTTAGTGAAAAAAGATGGCCAACCACTCTCTATCAAATCGATCAAACAACTAATTATCAACTGTTCGATCTGCAACTGACTTCCCTTTCATCCAATGATCTGTTGACTGTTAGCTGTGATCTCGTTTCTATATATTCTTAAGCAACAGTATACTTAAACCTCAAATAGTCATCATTTCGTAAGTTCTATGGTCTATACAATGACCTTGTCAGCAAATACAATCTTTCATTAATTCAAATGCTGACTGAGTTTTATCATACTAATTCTTAGGCCATTATTTACACACTGAATTGTCGACGGATTTTTCCGTTATTTCCTGACCATGACAAGGAGCACACGGCGGGTGTGACCGGTTGGCAGGGGATGCTCACTCCTCCATGGTCACCTGATCCCACCTCTGATGTCTTATAGGTCCGTGTTAGCTCTGCTCCTATTTTGTAATGTTTAATGGACATTTGAGCTCGAATACTATTCGTCATCTCCACATATTTCATTTCAAATACCTTTATTACATGTAAATAAATACTCTAGTACATTAATAAAAACCACAGAGCGACATCCTTCAAACAATACTTTGAAAAAAATTGTGCCCTTTTATACATACATATATGTTGAATTAGCATGTAAACTTTTGATAATTAATAATTGCAAGTTAAATATTATAATGCGTAGAAAATGTGTGATCAAAGAAACCCAACCTATATACAAATACTTTTTATAAGCTCAATACACAGCTAGTAAGGATTAAAATACTTCTCATTTTCTCTATTCAAGTGTTTGAAATCAGTTAAAGTCAAGATCATCAATATTCCAGAGTCAAATTAAGCGTAAAAACAGAAGCTTAACAATATGTCTGAAACAAGTCAGTCAAAACACAACCCAATAATGATTATATATTTGCGCACAAAGTCATTATAACGACCGTAGAATCTATAAAATGCTGACTTCAAACTAGGCTGCTGAATTTCCCCTACGTCAACCTATCTGTCAGAAACCTGGCTCGGTTTAAAAATCAGTTGTACTCGGAGCATGCTTTTAAGTATCGAATAAGTTGGAGACGTAGATACCATATGCAGGTGATAGTGGAACATCACTAAACAATCAAGGAAAGCTGACGATGGAAAAGTTATCTCGCCCGTCATACAATCTGGTTGTTAGTTGACCCCCATCGTCCACACCCAGCAAAACATCAAAACACGAAACATGTGGCAGACTTTGTTGTATCCTTTATTTCAAGTCTACTTGACACACGAATGGAAGTAACTAACGTCAATTGATAAAACGTCGTCGATATATTCGAATATAGAGCTGAAGGCTACAGCATGTGTCACCCTCCTGTCATGTAAAAGTTTCGTGAATTCAGCTTCATAGGAATATAAAAACAAGTCAACTAATTATAATAAAGGAGCACAACTGGAAAAAAATTCCAACAAATCTGCTTGAATACATGGTCTCCAAAGATTACATAAATGTTGTCAATGAGAAACTCCAACATCTTTTTAATATCAACATCAGTGTACTTTTATTTAGAATCTGAGTGATTTTTAACAAAGTAATTTTGTTGATGACCAATCACAAGATCAGAAAATTTCCGAGTTCAATTTTTATTGAAGCAGTTATCTATGATATCAAAATGCCTAGTTTTTAATATAAGGGATGGTTGTTTTAGGTGTAGAAAAGTCATACATTTTGATGTTATTGACTTAAAAAAAATTTGGTAATTTTAAATTTTCTAAAAGTTCTTTGGAATTTTTGAGAATCCAAATCTGATTTATACTACTTCCAGAATATGTTGTAGCAAAGAACGTCCGAAGTTTCTCTTTTACAGAGGTTCAGTATTAATTCAGTATTAATAAATAACTCCGTAGAGAGGGAAATAAATGCTACTAATCTATAAATAAATATCATGCATTCTCATGCATTCTAAAAAAGCACCTGTATTTTGCTCTTGATCAAGGACCCTCAACATGGGTAAAAGACTACCCTCAATGTGGAGGTACCAGCCAGTCCCCCATCTCTGTGGATACATCTAAAGTTGTCCTTGACACAACTCTGACAGCCTTCAACTTCACAGGTTATGACAAAGTGAACAAAGTCAAGATGAGCATGAAAAACAATGGGCATACAGGTAAGATGTTTTAGGTGTTATATGCTTAAGAATGTTTGCAACCATCACTTCTTGACCAATGTTACCTGTGCTTTTGCATAAAATTTTGATTAACATATTTTTCTTTATGAAAATTAAAAAAAAAAAGCAGTACAAATGAAGTAAGAATTTTTTCGAAATATTTTCAAAGAAGTTGCTTTTGAAAATATACGTTATAAATGTTCAACAAGGTGGAGAAAAAGAATTTGTCTTCTAATGAAACCCCTCTTTTTGCATATTTTTTTTAAATATCAAAACAAAACGTTGTCATTATCTTTAAAGATACGATTAATATTATCTTATTCATTCAAAAAAAAAAAAAAAAAAAAAAAAAAAAAACAGTGAGAAAAGAACACTTCATCAAACTGCACTAGCCCCTCATTTATATTTTGATATCTTTGTACCATCAGCTTATTTGTCGATAGCTTGCCTCGTTGAAATTTTAGTAGGTAGAACATAATCTTGCCTACCGAATCAACACGGAGACACAAACTTCATAAATTGCTTCATTAATAAGGGAAGTTGACGATAGAAAAGTTAAAGTCAATTGTCTTTTTCATTTAGTTTAATTGTTAGTTTGCCATTAAAGTTTTTCTTTAAGAAAACATTCAAATATAAAGCAGATGTGTCAGATTTTGTGGTGTCTCATATTCCGAGTTCTCAGAGTTCTAGAAATAAAAAAGGAAAATGATCATTGATAAAATACCATCGATATATCTAAATGTCGTATTGAAGGTCAAGGCAAGAGACTTCTTCTTTCCATGTAGATTAATAAAAAAAATCTGCTTGAATACAAAAATAGGTCTGCATGGAAAGTATGGATGATGCATGAAAGTATGCATGGAAATACCAACAGAATGGACTTGATCTCCAAAAAACTACATATATATTGACAATCAGAAACTCGAGCATTATATCTTTAATATCAGCTTTGAAACTACTTGTGTAGTGTCAGATTTTTTTTAAAAATATAATTTTGAACATGACCAATTACAGGGTATGTACATTTACGAGTTTCATTTCAATTTATTGAAAAACAAACCCAGTTGTCTATGATATCAAAAAGATCCTTTTTTGATTGAAGGAAAATAAAAGAACTTGTTGGAGAAAAAAGTAACTATAAATAATGAGGTTGCTGAACCTACTTTCCTTATATTTTATACAGCATGTAACAGTGGAATATGCTTGCAATACGTTTATTCTCCATTTTCCCCAGAAAATGTCTAGAGATTCTGAGGCCTCTTGTTAATCAAAAGGTCAAACCTACTAACACCATTGATTTGAATCAAGCATGGGGCAACGTATGACTGTCGGTGCTTTAGTTTTTTCAAAATTATTTATTTCACTCTGTTCTTCCTGTTTTCTTTTATTTTCACTTTTTTTTTTATTTCAGTACAAATAGACCTTTTGGGTAATATGATGTCAATATCAGGGGGAGGCGTCAGCGACACCTACCGGGCTGAACAGTTTCACTTCCACTGGGGCTCTGAAGACAAGAGAGGCTCTGAACACGACATCAACGACCGCCATTTCCCCATGGAGGTAAACTCAAAATACACTTCAAAGCAAGATACCCTTCAACCAATCCTAAAATAGAACAATAAAGATAGAAGAACAACAATCTCTTGCTATTTATCATGTTTATCTAGCATATTAGCTTTTTAAAAATGTTCTAAAGATGCACGTGGTACACTACAATACGAAGTACAACATTTTCGCTGACGCAATGAATAAGACAAATGGACTGCACGTGCTGGCGTTCTTATTTGAGGTAAAGGAATATTCAAGTGAAACTTAAATGTGATTTCAGATTTGTGATATACATTTATATGGCACATGTGAAAAAAATTGAAAATAATGTACTAGTTTACCTATAGCTGTGTTTTACATACAAGTATACATACAGGTATATAAAATGATTGTACCTACCTAGGCTTTAGTATAATTTTCTTTATAGGTAGGAACAGTAAATCACCATTTTGATGAAATCATTCAACATTTTTACCAAATTGCTCATAAAGGTAGTTTTCGTTATTCTCTAAATTTTTCTTAACATTTATTCAACATGTTATCATTGAACTTTTAAATCAATACATTATATGAAAAACAGATGATCACGTGAATCTGACTACATTTCCATTGGCTGGGCTATTTCCGGAAGACCTACAGGTTTACTTTCGTTACCATGGTAGCCTAACCACTCCTCCTTGTTCTGAAAGTGTCATCTGGACAATCTTTAAAGACACCATAAAAATTTCCGAGGACCAGGTTCGTATGAATGCTAACTCAAATATCCAATAACTTTCATTACTACATGCTTACCTAAAATGAAAACACACAAGGTGTTACATTAATATTTTACTATTTATACATAACTTTATTCCCAAATGTGAATGGAACTGGGTATTAATATTGGTATTTCAGTTGATGAAATTCCGTCATAATGTACACCGGAACTACGCCAATGAGGAAGATCGAGACATATCTAACGACTTCCGGCCAACACAACCTCTCAATCACCGCTATGTTTACACAAGCCATCCTAGCGCCATATCTCTCTCTACAACACTGCACAATATTTGGTTAAATATATATACACTTAGCATTATTTTCATGATCACAGCTTTTTTTTTATAGAGTTGAATTATATACAGTTTAACAAAAGATGACATTAAAACATCTCATTTAAATCTCAGAAATTAATTACGTATTTTACATGTAATATTCGTCTAGAAATATATTTGTATGGACTCTAGTAGATATCAAATCATAAAAATTAAAAACGGTTCAAGTTGTTGCTAGATTTTCTTTCTTTTGATCCCGTGCTTTGTAAATGGAAATATGCCTCCGAAAAAATGACTTATCAATGTGCTATCTTAATCATAATATGTTGAAAGCGCGACCGCAACGGCGAACGCAGGTACTTATTCAGTTTCGATTTAGATCCGTTTCTTCAATTTGGTACGTCTAGACTCTGACGTCAAATGACGTCGTATGCAAGTTGCATTACCAATCCGAAGCCTAAACAGTGCTTATTTAAAAGAAAAAAGTTAATTCTAACTATTTTCTGCGGTATCCTTTAAATCAAGGTGGGTTCAGATGAACTTAATATAATGTTGTTTCCGCGAGAACGTAGTTTACGGCGAGATGCAACTCACAAATGTTTGTGGGTCCAGCGGTTACTTCGGGAAAAAAAATTCGTTTGGAACAAAGTGCAAAGTCAGAATTTTCTCTTCGCCCAGGCTTTGCGTAAGAGCTCGCAGTGACGAGCGGTGTTTGGCGCCGCTCGCTGCGCTCGCTTTTAAAAATTTTAGAAGGTTTATTCTAGTTTTCCAGAAATTATTGAAAATTGTTTTAATTTAATTTTTTATCGAGGGACAATGCTTTTCTTTCTTATGATGCATGCAGTTTTCATACCTTCCTTTTACGTTGTTTTCATTGATTCCTGATTGCTATTGAGTGATTTTGAAAACAGAAAGCCTATTAAAGATGTGCATTATAAAGGATGGTTTTTGTCATCTTTATACTGTATTGAAAAATTCATGAATTTCTCACATTGATAAATAAAACTGACTGTTTAATTTTAGTAACAAGGTTATGCCAATGTCATGTTTTTCTTCAGGATAAAAAATTACTGCTGTCAGTTATGTGGAAGCTTCTTCTATTTTTAAATTGTGGTGTATTCTTATTTTACTTGCGTGAAAAGATAATACCATATAAGGTCTTTCAAATAAAATTAATAATTCAGCGAAAATAGACCAACTAAAAAGAAGATGGGCAAAAAAGTGCGAAATGTCTATATACATGGAGCTTCCAATTAATAAAAATCAAAGAACATACATGTAGGCCTTATTGTTGAAAGGTATGAGATTTTTACTTTAAGAAAAATCTCCACAGATCGGAACAATCTCACAATCTCACAAAGGATGAAATAGCATACATACACCAAAGAGGGTACAGATGATCAACCCTTTGTACTAAAACACAATTTTTCCATACCAGTGGGTCTTCGCTCCATTTTGATGTATACTCAAAGTATGCGTAGAATATACATTCCTCGGTTAACAAAAACATAGAGCATAGACCCACTATATCCCGAAAATACACTTTTATGACAAAACATTCATATATTTCCCAGAAATTATCCTCAGGAGTATAAAACATATGTCTTGTTTACAATCTTCAGATTCCCAGTTTTGGTATAGAACCAACAGTTCATACAAAAAATTGAAGGAATGCAATGTTTCTATTAGAGATACATTTAACAATTCCTTTTCCGATCTCATGTGTTCCATTTCAAAATGTTCTGTCAAAAACTTGATATTTTTTTTACTAGCTCTTCGTTTTCTTGTAATCTTACTAGACAGAGCTTCTGTACCAAAAAACGTGGGGAAATCTGAATTCCAAATCCTCTAACATTGTCTACGGAATAGAATGTACCCTTGTGGGCTCATTTATGTTGGTGAAACCAAAGGTTCACTTAATAAAAGAATATCGGGGCAAAGATTTCAAACTCAGTGAAGACTTAAAATCAATCATCGTAAAAGGTCCTAAATACAGGGAGCCCCGAACTTTCAATTGGCGACAGAACTTCATTTCTAATCATGAATTCTGTTGTAAATTATGCCAAACGTTGGGATAATGAAAAGAAAGACCTGAACACTTTATCAAAATGCATTAAATGTTTTAGAAATATATCAAAATTAAAAGGCAAAATGTGAACCATCTATCCCGCCGTTTTCACTAAATTGAATGTGATGAAAGAATAATACTACAGTGACTACTTGAACAATATGTAACAGTTCCAGCAGACTGGAACAATATTGTCTTTGTCTGTAAGGCTCATTATAATTATAATTGCATTTTGGAAGAATTTGGCTTTTATTCCATGTCTGGATTTTTTTTCGTTTTTTCCCGTTCATGACAAGGAGCACACGGCGGGTGTGACTGGTCGGCAGGGGATGCTCACTCCTCCATGGCATTTATACAAGCATTCCTCGCGATAAAATAAAAACTAAGTTTTTTGCAATTGATATATTAGGCAACTGCTTTTTCAAGAAAAAAGGAACCCAGAAATTTTCACGTCTTGTGATTGGTCATTAACAAAATAACCTCATAAAAAGTCACTCTGATTCTATACACAAGTACTCTGAAGTTGATATTAGAAGGATGCTGCCATGCTGTTTCTGATTGACAACATTTATGTAGTCTTCCGAGACCAAGTCTTCCAGGAAACTAATCCCGATAACCACTAGTTGTACTCCTTTGTTAGCCGACCTGTTTTTGGATTTGTATGAAGCAGAATTTATTTCAAAAACTTATATACGAGAAGAAAACTTGCAGTGGCCTTCAACTCGACATTTCGATAATACTGATTGCGCCCATGACAAAAGGGCCTTATGGCAATTTTGCTTAAACAGAGAAATAACGTCATAAAGATGTGACGTTGAGCAGTGCGATGTCAACGCAGATTTCTTTTCATTGTAAGGCTCATTATTGTATTTTAGAGGAACTGGGATTTAATTCAAGAAGTGGTAATCCGACTTATACCCAAAGCTCCCTTTCTAAGGAGGAAATTCTTCAAAAAATCATATGTCAGTTTTGAATATTTTTATTATTTCCAAAAACCAACATGAATTTGAATTACCATACCTATATTGGATTCCGAAACTTCATACGTAAAAGTCCTTACATACAAAGATACAGAGTGGGTTCCAGTGAATGTTCTACCAAGCCTCTTTCTTAACTCCTCACTAAAATATTAACAGTAGTGAAGGAGAGACTTCAGGAGTACTGTGCAACAATATATTCGAGAAGTGGTGTAAATCAGATGTGGATGCTTCAAAATTCCAAGGAACTTTTGGAAAATTTGAAATCACAAAATTTTACCGAAATCAACAACTAAAAAAAAAACTTACGACTTTTCAACTTAATATACAACCATTTCCCACGATAAATTGAAATGCAGGCTTTTTGATATTACGAGGGGCATTTGAAAAGTTCTGAGAACTGTTCGAAAAAATATTAACCGTTTAACGGTAACAAGCTTATCTTTTAAAAAGATTGGTGAGCTATCGCTGTAGCATAATAAAATACAGAAGAAGATATCTGAACCATTTGTTAAATTTGCTGAATCGATTAATTATTAATAGGAAGGCAGATTGGTGCACTGGGGGTTGAGTTTAGGGGGGGGGTCACAATTCAGAATGGTGAATCTAAGAGTGTGCTTCACGTCGGCAATGGCATAACTCCTAACTGTGCTTTAAGCATTCTGTATTTTACTGTAATTTCAATTTCGAGGTGAAAAATAAAAGGTCAATAGAACCAATGAGCACCTTTGGGCCTTTTCGGCAAGCTCGGAAAACATATCCGAGGTTGCCGCGGTTTTCCGAGCTTGCCGGAAAGATCCATGAAGGTAGATTAGAAAAGCTATGTATTCATTACAGCTTTAGAAATAACAGTCTTGGTTTTATAAGACCCGAGTTACTGTTACTTTTTGTTCATTTACGTGCAGGTTAGACAACAAAACACGAAACTTCAGATCATATGTATTTTCAGATGATAAACACTAAATTGACATGTCTTTCCGACATACTCTGAAAAAGATTGTTGTGGTTGTTGTTGTTTATTTTCCGAGCTTGCCGGAATTATCCACTAAGGTGGTAAAATTGTAAGGAAAGCTAGATGTCTAGAATCTTGGCATTATATAGCCAAATTTTTTCTTGTACTTTTATGTGTAGGTTAGACAATAAATTAAAAAAAAATTCGGAATCCGGATCTAGACTGGTATTGACTCTCTCTAACCTACGAAATGTATTTCGCGCATATCAGACAGGAAAGGCCAGTGTAAATTCGGATCATTTCTATTTTTGTATGACAAAACGAAATTGTTATCGTACAGTCTATCTACAGTAGTTTTCCCAGAATCCCCTCGAGAGCGCTAGCAATAACTGAGTTTAGTATCATTGAACAGATCACAAAAGTATACACATTTTGTGAGGTCACTTTGTAATTTTTATTACGTAATAACTCCGAAAATGACGTCAGAATCTCGAATGTCTAGCATACTGACCATAAAAATGACGTAACAAGAGACACAGTTTCAATGAAGTAAAATTTTTAAAGTCAGCTTTTGTTCGTTACTCGGGTGCACGCTAACGGACACAACTACCCGTTGGAAGAATGTTAACATAGACTATAGTCTATCATACGAAGGTTATATTCAGGAGCTCTTACAGTTCTGAGGTGGTTTAAGAGTGTGTCAAACATGCTAATATCGAATCTCGCGCAAAATATTGGGTAAAAAAGACGATGCTGTGAGAAAAACACAAAGTTTACAATCACAGGAGAATAGTGGACGGTGTTACAAAATTTTCTGGCATTAATTCGTCAGGTGTTATAACCAATTTTGTGGGAACGATTAAAGCTCAAGAGAGGTTAAGCTAAGGATGTCCCATATTTTCTCGTAAAAACCAAAATGGCGCCGGTGTACTTCTAACCCCACAGTAACTCGATATGTTCGAAAATTTTAAATCATGGAAAATAAATAAGATTGTACATGGCAATGAAACTCAGATTTTTTTTTTTTGATTTTTTTTTTTTTTTTTTTTTTTTTTTTTTTTTTTTTTTTTTTGAGTCGAAAGTCAAAAGCAATACTGAGTTTTGGATTGCTGAAGTTGAAATAATATGAAAAAATACGCACAGAAAATTGTCCGGGGAAGAATTTTGTACGTCTGATACTCAAGATACATTTGTGGAAAACTGCATTATTACACTTCAGTTTTATATAGAAAATGTTTTGTTTAATACAGTGGAGAGCTATTATAATAGACCGAAAATTCAGCTATATCATATAAATACAAATCTTTTATGAACGCCTTAGATAACATTACTGTGCTTATTAATCAAGCAAAGAAATAAAATATGGAATTGCTGATTTACCGTACCATTCTTATAGTCTTACTCTACTTCCAGGCAAATTTTCTTTGAAATATCTTTTCAAAGAAGCCTTTGACAGCACTTTAACTATGTTCTCATGTAGACAAAAAACGTGACTTTTCAGTATGCTAAACATTCGAGATTCTGACGTTATTTTTGAAGCTATTACGTCATAAATAAGAAAATAACATTCATATAAGTGCAAATTTTCCAGCTCTTTTCAATGGTATAAAACTTATTAACGTCTGTGAAATGGTTAATACTTTAGCAAGCAGTTCTCAGAACTTTTCAAATGCCCCTCGTATTGACAGCTTTTTCAATAAAAATGGAACTCGTAAATTTACTTATCTTGTCATTGGTCATTTGCAAAATGCATGAAAACACTTGCTGTGGCCTTCAACTCGACATTTAGATATATCGACGACGTACTGTCAATTAACAATGGTTATTTTCATTCGTAGGTCGTTACGATATATCCCACTGAGCTTGAAATAAAAGATACCACAGAGTCTGACACATCTGTTTTATATTTGGATATTTTACTAGAAAAAGACGTTAATGGTAATCTAACAACCAAGCTTTATGATAAACGTGATGACTTTAACTTTTCAATCGCCAACTTCCCTTACCTATATGCAGCAATATACCTTCATATGGGGTTTGTATTTCTCAGTTGATTCTATACGCAAGAGCATGTTCTACGTATAACCAAGTTATTGACAAACAAGCTGATGAAACAAGAATATCAGCAGTCTCGTTTAAAGTCGTCATTTCGTAAGTTTTATGGTCGATACAATGACATTATCAGGAATTAAAATTTATCATTGAGTCAAGAGCTGACTGACGTTTTTCATACTAATTGTTAGACCATTATTAACATACTGAATTGTCCACGGATTTTTCCGTTATTACCCGATCATGACAAGGAGCACACGAGGATGTGACCGGTCGGCAGGGGATGCTCACTCCTCCATAACACCTGATCCCACCTCTGATGTTTTAGAGGTCTGTGTTTGCTCTGCTCCAAAATTTGTATTGTTTAATTTGAGCTTGAATACTGTTCATTATGTCCATACATTTCAGTGTTGTAAAATTTGATTTGGCGAAAGTGGATCATACTCAAAGGTCAAGAGGTCAAATATTTTCGTCCCCAAAGAAAGGTCTTGTCACAAGGAATACATGTGAAATGTGAAAGCCATAAGCTGCAGAACTGTAGCGTTATGGTGTTATATTTTAGTCTTTGACTAAAGAATTTAGAAAGAATTTCTCCACTTTCCAGCTACTTTCGCTCCCTAATCCCAGGCATATTCTTTAACCAACTTCTACACGTTGTCCACTCCCTAACCCTTTAAAGTTGTCTCTACAGAGCCATAAACTCGTTTTTCGTTTTCTTGTTTTTAATTTTCTACCATCCGACAAAAAACTTTCAAAACAAACGTGTTTATTGCTCTGTAGAGACGAGTATGAAGTATTAGGAGGTGGATAAGACATACAGGTTAGTTAAAGAATATGCCTAGAATTAAGGAATGAAAGGTAGAACTTGATTGATTGATTGATTGATTGATTGATTGATTGATTGATTGACAAATGCTGGAAAATGGAAAAATTCTCCCCAACCGTCATCCTTGCAATGCCAGATCGAGGTCCTGAGTCAACACGTTGCCGTTAGACCAACGGCAGCTTGTTGACTCAGGACCCCTGTGGCATTGCGAGGATGCCCAACCGTCCGCAGAAAATCTTGCGCCGTATTACGGGATCTGTAGCGTTATCGATCAAAGACTAAAATATAAAAGTTCTTTAGCTAGAAATTAAACGCGTTTTACTGTAAAGTGCAGAGTTATCTTCCCGGAAATGACACACATATATTTGAACGTTAATTTGAGCGGCTATCTAAACAAAGAAAACACAACAAGCTAAGGTGATGTATTAAAGAAAGTTATGACAACCAAATTCAAGGAATAACCATGAAGAAATAGTGAAATACGTGAAAGGGCATCTTATTACTGCAATACATTAAAGGTTTGTTTTCTTTTTCTTTGCATTAATTAACTACGACGAGCAACGCAAATAAAGTTGACTTTGGATATCTTGAATTCGTTCATAGACTTGCAAGAGAGGAAATAATATTAAATGTACTTAAAAACATCTATATTTATATCAGAATAGTTTTACTAAAACTTGAACGATTTTGTTTTTCTAAGTGATGTAAATATCAGTGATTTGTTTTTCTAATTGATGTAAAATATCAGTGATAGTGTACTGTTACTACAATCTGGCTTTCTTTCCCTACAGGTACTATAGTCCAGATCGAACTCAGAATACACGTATCAGAGTACTTGGTGCCATCTTCAAGTGCAATTTTGTTGTTCCATAATCGACACATTGAATTTTAATTTTATGAAGACTACTGAGTTAATTCGACAGTGTTTACAATTATCCTAGTGCATTCGATATCATGGATTACTTTCTGGCAGTTATTAATGGGATATAGACTATAATATATGGTGCTTTGGGACTTGCTGAAAGCTAATAAAATTTGATATTTTTGTGATTGACATAAAGAAAACTCTGCAGCCGATTCAAATTATAAATGATTAAAATAAATACAGATATAAATAAACATTTTGTATTTTTAAATTATTTTTTTAATAAAGCCTTTTATAAATATTCAAAACAGTTTTGATATTAAATTGTCTGCTTAATATTTTTTTCTTAATAATTTTGAAGATTAAAAGTTTGTTGTCTATGTGTACGGTATAAATTATGTGTCATTCTGATTGAATTGTTGAGACTAACCGTATCTATTCAGTTCTATCTCCTATATTATTTGTGTAAATTAAGTACATCGCACAGTGTCAATTGTATTGCATAATTAAATACATATCCCAATGTTCAGCGGCTTTATGGAAAATGATTAATATCGGTTACATATTTTGAAAATTTTGACAATTATGCGCATTGAAAAACATATACTTTTTGTGCCTAAATTTACGGAAGTGTTTTGTTTTTCTGCAGGTACAAATTATATTTAAACACTTCTGTTGTTATGTGTTTAGAATTTAAACACTTGTGTTTATGTGTTTAGATATGTTTAATTTCTAAGCACACAAGTGTTCAATTTCTAAACACTTTCTAAGACATGTTTAGAAATATTACATGTTTAGGAATTAAACATATAAAAAAGGAGGTGACAACAAAGCGTTTAGAAAAGTGTTTGAATTGTAAACACATTTTTTACAGTGTACATAATGGTCAATGTTAAAGTTTTTGCGGACAAACAGACAGACGGACGGACATGGCAAAAACTATAATTATCCCCTCCCCCCCCCCAATCTTCGATTATGGGGACATAAAAAAGCACATCAATGATCAGATACACATCTCAGTCCCAAAAACGTAGCTTAAATTCCTTTAAACTGTTGAGCCGTCAAAGAATACAATTCCGGATATTTGAAAGCAATGCGTAATAGGTTCGGAAGCTTAGTTTTCTATACAAGCTTCCTATGTGATTAATCCAAAAATCTATAAAATTAAAAGAAAGTATCTGGAATATATTACGCAAACTAAAATAAAAAATGTGGTATGTAATTTTTTTTTAACCTCAGAATTGGATACTCACTTTTAATGTTTTTTAAATGTTTGTTTTCAAGGTAATAAAACAGTATGATCACCTGATCACAGGGGCTTATGTATTTTGAGCAGACTTGTTTCTACCTACGTATCTATATTAATTTGAAAACTTCACGAGTTTAAATCTCAATTTTATTTAATACCGGTGACTGTAAGTTTTAATTCATGGTGTTTAGAATTATAAGTCCGATCAAATTGATAATATTAAATCAAAATATTTTCAGGTAAGTATCTCAAGATGGTGATGAACATTTAACAATCGATAGGAAATGAAAATACAGAGATTTGAGATTCATGTGGATGGTCAGACTAGCAGAAATGTAGTGGTGCTATCGGGGACAGATTTGAGAGGCACAGTGTACATAAATGTCTCCCATTCACTCAAAATTCAAAGTAAGAACTAAGCTTGTAACATAACTGATAAGTGTGACATTCATTTTCATAGTTGATTTAAACATTTGCAAGTCAAATTGTGATTGCCTGTAACAATATGATTTTAAGTTAATTTTACAATCTTTAATCAGACATAAGTCATGAAAAGCAGTGATAAGTTTGATGCATTGTATATATAGAGGATATTCAATGTTTTGTAGATGAATATGGAATTTATTTCATGAGTGGGACAGGATTTTTTTTTATATTTTGACGAGTGCAAATCACGAGTGAAAATATAAAAAAAATCCTGTCTCACGAGTGAAATAAATTCCATATTTTTCTACAAATCATTGAATTTTCTGTTTATTACATTTTCTTTGATTTTCCCTTTCCCTCTGTCTTTTCTTAACACAGTGTCATAGGCTTGATGTTATAGTTGAGTGGATGAGAGGTCATAGCTTAGCAGTTGTTAGATTGAAAACATTACATAGCATGGATTTTAGCAACATATTTGGGAAGAAATTTGCAGTTTTAGCTCTATTTCTATCTTATGACAGGCCAGGAGTTATTTTTTTCTGACTTTGATAGCCTTTGAATTCACACTGAGAGAATATCATTTTCGTATCCTTTCACACTGTGAGAGAATATCACTTTTATTCAATAAATAAATCGCAGTATTTCACTGTTGAAAATGTAATAATCAACATTATCTGATGTAAATTTGTTTAAAGTTGCATATGTGGATATGTTTGTGAAGAATTGTAATTTTTGTAGGCATCAGTGTCTATGTATATGGAAAAGCAAAATGTAAGTTTGATCGTAGATCTGATAATGACAAAAGGGAATTCACGGCAAAAGAAACTTACGTCAATTACAAGCTCTACCTGTTTGGAGGTTGGTATTATTATTTTAATAAAAAAAATTTAATAACCAAACAACATTAACATATTAATATCTTCACTTAGCTTATGACATGTGAATATCTCAAGTACATGTATATTAATTTTTAATTTAGGATCTCAAACCCAGGCTCAGACAATAGAGGCGGGGGATCATGTGTACCCCTTTGTTATCCCCCTCAGTACTACAGGGGAGCTTCCATCATCATTTGAGGGCAGAAAAGGTTATGTGAGGTACACCATTCAGGGTCAGATAACAAGGCCTTGGAAGGCAGATGAGAACATAGTTCTACCATTTACTGTCATTAATCATCTAGATCTCAACGCTTTTCCTGATTCTGTGGTAAGAGTAGTAGCAGATTAAAAGTTTGTGAAATTAAATGTGCAATTTAAATTAAATGTGCAATGTGAACTTAAAGGGTTAGAGACAACTGTAGAAAGATGCTGCAAAGAATTGGAAGTCTGTTGACTCTCCATAAAGTGACAATAATGTATAGATAAAAGTGACAATAATGTATAGATAAAAGTGACAATAATATATAGATAAAAGTGACAATAATGTATAGATAAAAGTGACAATAATGTATAGATAAAAGTGACAATGATGTATAGATAAAGATTTTAGCAAGCAACTATTGAACAACAAAGAAATCAGATATTTGTAATCTGTTTTATTGATATTTCATATGTCACATGAAAACATGAAACATACTAGTAAGGTTGAAACGATACGCCCCCTCCACGATAGAGTACATATTGTGATACTTGTGTCACAATTCAATTTTTCAATACCATACATTTTAAAAGAGAAACAAATCATAAGGTTAAAGAAAACATGTACTCAGATTTCAAAAGGCAAGTAAAAAGTGGTGATACAATAAAGACCACTTCTTATGCTTCTGTAGATTAAAAGTCGTTAGAGCACTTTGTTTGTGTCAATACTAGCAGTGGCAGCCTGCTCTGAAACTTTCTGTCAAACTATTAAAATTAGGTCGAACCTGATCTATTTCAGGAGTAACCAAACCCGATCATAAAAAACGTACCGAACCGAAAATCGAGATAGTGAATCGAACATTGAATTGAGCAGTAATATTGAACTATATGGATATTTCGGTGAATTGTTTCAGCCCTCCATACTAGTATTTATATATTGTAACTTTGATATACAATACAGTGTCTGTGTCTTATTCAGATGCCAATCATGCAGTACAGAAGACAAGAAATATCTGGATGTTGTTGCTCAGAAGGGGAGATAATTGCTCAAATGAAGGTGAATAAGTCTGGTTTTGTCCCCGGGGAACCTATCATTGTAGAGATGGATATTAACAACAAGAGTGAAAATGCCGTGCAGGCCTGGAGTGTAGAACTTATACAGGTTAGACACTGGCTAGGTGGTATGATTGTGTAGTTAATGTGTCATTTCAGTGTACATACTAATCAACATTTTAAAATTCCCATGCATATACATGTAATATCATTATAAATGTTACCACCAAAGAATGTTTTATTTTTTGTTTATGAATGAAAGAAAAAATTGCTTTAAAATAAGCTTAATCAGAAGTTCACTCAAGTTTTCTTAAAATTTTAAATTATTGAATACTCAAGGTTAGTTTCTATTGTAAACATTTATTTTGATTACAGACTAATTTTTATACAAAATGTGCTGGATTTTTTTTCAGATAAACTTCTTATTTTCTTTTCAGGATGTGACTTACACAGGATTTTCTAACAGTTTGTTTTCCTCTGGCAATCCAAAGTACAAAACTAAGAGTGAGACTTACACACTTTATGTGAATCGAACATTGGCAGTGGGGGCGGGGCAGCAGCAGGTCTTCACCCGGGCAATGCCTGTCCCCTCCCTGCCTCCTTCCTACTTAAAAGGCTGCAACATTATAGACATTCAGTATACACTTACTGTAAGTAACATCATAGTCATTCAATATACACTTACAACCTCCTTGCAGAGTTGTCATTCATTCCTCTCTCAGACACATCTGCAATGGGCTCGCATCAAGATTTTTGACATAAGGAAACAAGATGTGTTTGTGAAACACTTATGCCCCCATATGACTAAAGTTTCTTAAATGCTAGTCAAACTTCAGGTCAAGAAATCAAAAATGTTGGTACCCAAAAAAGGTCTTGTGTCGAGGAATATACCTGTGAAATATGAAAGCCCTAGTGCAAACCGTTGAAAAGTTATGGCGAAGGTTAAAGTTTTTTCAAAGTAAGTAAAACGACAAGATCAAGGTCAAATGGTGCCCAAGTGAAGTTCTTGTTACAAGTGATACACATGATCGTAAAATGTGAAAGCCACAGAACCAAACATTCAAATGTTATGGCCAATATTTAAAATTTTTAAAAGAAGTTCAAAACTCCAAGGTCAAGGTCAATGCCAAAATTGTTGGTATCCAAAGGAAGGTCTTGTCACAAGGAATGCATATGTGAAGTATGAAAACCCTAACACCAACTGTTCAAAAGTTATGGCCAAGGTTAAAGGTTTTTCAAAAGTTGGTCAAACTCCCAGGTCAAGGTCAAAAGGTCAAAGTTGTTGGTATTTAAAGGAAGGTCTTGTCAAAATAAATGCATATGTGAAGTATGAAAACCCTAGCACTAATTGTTCAAAAATTATGGCCAAGGTTAAAATTTTTCAAAATTGAAGTAGGTCAAACTCCAAGGTCAAGGTCAAAAGGTCAAAGTTGTTGGTATGCAAAGAAAGGTCTTGTCACAAGGAGTACACACACAAAGTATGAAAGACCAAGTTTAAGCTGTTTAAAAGTTATGGCCAAAGTTAAAGTTTTTTCAACAGTAGGTTAAACTCCAAGGTCAAAGGGTCAAAGATGTTGGTATCCAAAGAAAGGCCTTTTCACAAGAAATACACTTGCGAAGTTTGAAAGCCAAAGCTCCAAGTGATCGAAAGTTATGGCCAAGGTTAAATCTCACAAAATTGGCAAAAACTATATGCCCCTGAATCTTTGATTATGGGGGCATAAAAACATGATATTCCAAGGATTATTTCAAATTAAACTAATAGTTCTAGAACTCATAGTAAATATATACCTTAAAAGACAATCATTAGTGCAGGAATTTACCCGGTAATTATAATGAATTAAAACAATCGGACTATTTCTTGTACTTAACACTGTGATATATGCGAGCCAACGGCAGAGGTGAATGTATGAGCCGATGGTAAACAGTGATGCACTAGATATTCAGTGCAAACTTTTGTTAGTAACATCATAGATTTAAATATAAACTTACTTACCATACTTGATTGTGATAGAATTCGGCCGAGCCGAACCAAGCCAGGTAAACCCCGGTACGCTCTTAGAATCAAGCAAACAGGCTCATGTAAAGTAATAGAAATAATGTATTTCTATCGTAAAACATTATCTAGCATAGAAAAGGACTACACTTTTTGCAAATATGTTCATTTCACAAGCGTACCTCGATCAAAAGCTTCACATCTTAAAACAAACAACTTTCAACACTACTATCCCGAAGGACGCCATGTTGAAGGCGCCCGAGCTTATCAAATTTTTCCGGCTCAATCGGCTCATCCGGCTTGATGCATGCGCAATACCGGCTCAGAATCAAGTGTGACGCCGGTCATCGCTGGTTTACCCGGGCGCGCCGGATGGTCAGAATCAAGTATGCTAATAAACTTGCTGTAAGTGATAGCAAAGGCATTCAATGTGCACAACTTTTTGTAATTGCAAAGGCAGAATGACATTTAGATATTACTTTTTTAACATTGTAAAATCATAAAACTCCTTTGTGCATGAATGTTCTCAGTAAATGTTTACCTTGATAGTATTTTTTACACTAAAACTTGTATATTGTTTGTTATTTATTCTTCCTGTAGTTTAGAATATCCACTGGCTGGAATACAATTTCTCTGGATAATGCCGTCATCATAGGGAGTATTCCATTAAGAAACATATCCCTCCAGGTGATCCAGCCTGTCCCCACAGCCCCAGAGGTCCAGGATTATCCCCCACCCATAGGAAATCAAGATTTCTCACTCACAGCTCCCTATCCTGATGGTAAGGGGAGTATTCTTGAAGAAATAAATAAATGTTTTTTGCATCTCTTGAAATTGTACTTATCATAACAATTACATTAATGATTATCAACATTATTTTCATAAATCTACATGGAGATTCAGTAGCTATGGAAACTGTTATTCCTATAAGTTTGCCTTTGGTGTTTTTTTCAGTTTTTTAGCTCATATAAGCCAAAGGCCCATGTGAGCTTTTCTGATCAAAGAGTGTCCAATGTTCATATGTCTGTTTTGCAGTGTGTTGCCTGTGAATTTATAACATTTTCAACTCCTTACTCAGAACTACAGAGTCAATTTATCAAACTTGACAGAAAACATTCTTGGGTGAAGGGGATTCAGTTTTTCAGATTGAATTTTATTATAATAGCTTTCATTTTTTTACCACTTTGTTTAAACCTTCATTTTTATATTAAAATCATAACTATAAACATAGGTATCAGAGTAGGTACATGTAAATGTATTAATTGTGTAAAAGATGAAAACAAAAGTTGAAATTGGAACATTATTTTGTTCAAGTGGAAACAAATTTTCTTTTGTAGCTCCTCCAGCTTATTCCGAGTGTGTGTCGGGGCCCGTCAGACTGGAAGGGGGAGAGGAAGATGAGGATGAGGATAATGCTGTCCCCCTAGCTAACTGGACCCCCGCCTACCCAGTGTATGACTACACAGCCCAGGTCAATCAGGTCAATGCTGCAATGCCTCCACCTATGGCATCACCTACAGCCCCACCTACTGCTCCACCTGCCTATGACGAGATTCAGTTCTCCACCATTAAATAGTAAACCAATGATTTTATGTAGACAACTTTGAACAAATATATGTTTTATGTGTTTACCTGTATTATGTATCAAAGATAAGGTTATTTTTATTCAAAAGGAAATTTTTTGACATCAATGTTTCTTTGTTAGTTGACTTATTTAGGGTGTACGTCTATTTTGCGCTTTATTTATTGTAGAAGACATAAATGTATTTATATATAAGCATGTATACTGCTTTTATTATTCCTTAGCAAATGTTGATTTTTAATATTGTTTTTTAACTTTAAATTTAAGTTTGACCTTTCCGTGAATGAAAAATATGAAATTTTATATATGTATAGTTCAGACTACAGGCATATGAAATTTTTTTTTTTTTTGGACTTTCAGGAAGTAATTGTACAGGGAGAGAGTGTTTAGTGGTCATTACATGTATCTTTTATAGAAACATTATATTTCATGTTTGTTTTATTGGAATTTGGGCTTCCAAATGTCTTAAGGTTTCTGTTTACGTCCAATTACATGTAGCTCATCATGTTTTAAGTTTTTTAACTCCACACTTCGGTCATCACCCTTTTTTTTGAAAATGTAGAAAATTATTGTATTCATTAAGCTTTTACTTTTAAAGAAAACAAGCTGTACACTGTGGTACTGTGACCTTCATTGACCTTTTTGTTTATGTTGTGAATATTTTACTGGGAACAATATTTAGATTCATACTCCTTATACTATGTATATGTGTATTATATCACTTCATAAAACTGCTTATACAATACAGTGATATTTACTGATAGAAAACAAAAGGTGGCCTCATTCATTGAAAGATGATTTTTAAAACGGCATCAGATAATTTTAAATGAAATTTATGAAGCTGTGGGGAAGGGAGTTTAAAAGGGTAACCTATCATTGAAGGATGTTAAAAAATATATGAATTTTTCAGATTGTTATAAATACTGAAATAGAAAATAAAAGAAGGCTGTTTGTGCATTGCAATATTTAGTCTTGTAGATAGAATAAAACCTATTATAACAGATCACAGGAGATGACTGAAGACACTTCCTTGTATTCCTAATTTAAAATATGTAGGTAATAATTTGTTATTTCCTAAAGTTGAGAGAAAAATAAATGTTGCTTTGCTCTAAGAATTCATTTTGTTCGCTATGAACTTGTCTAAAGAGAGCCAGATACAAAGAAATACTTAAACTAAATTTTTATCTCTTATAAAGGTTAATTTCAATATTTTGCACACTAATATATTTGCTTCAAATTACAGAAAATGAAGAATGTTATTGGTACAGATAAGATTTATTTCTAAAAATGATTGAAAAATTGTAATAATTCCTCTTGTAAAAAGAATTCATTTATTTAGTAAGTACAAGATTCCTTCACTTTGAATAGTTTTCATTATCTGATGATTAAACGAATCTCATATGAGTGAAGTGTTTTTACAGAGTGTACATGCCATGTGTTTTTTTTAACTGTATATTGTTAAGAACTTATTCAGTACTTATTTTTATGTCTTCATTTTATCAGTGCTAGAGATGTCAAATCTTAAATACATACATGTTTGCATTAATTCTTTGCATATCATTTTATATAATTTGTTTATAATGCAGAGTGCTTAGTAACTAGTTAAAAGGAACAAATGTACACCTCCATATAATCAGACCTGATCAGTGTTATGTTAAATTTGATTTTTTTTCTTTTTGCTTAAGAATGGATGACTGTATTAAGGAGGAAAGGTGCAATTAGTTGTATTTTGTTGTTAACAGTAATGGTTACGAGTTATTTCCGTTTTATTTATGTGTGAGTATTAGTGGCACATTTATGTCACATGAAGGTAAGAAACCAATAAATGAACAAGTAAAATTTGTTTTGCATGAATTAAAATTCACTTGGCATTATTAATTAGCCAGCGAGTTGGTGACCTGATACTATAGAGTTAATGAATTTGTATGTGGAAGTATCGTAGTTGGATTTTAGTTAGGTTATCTAATATAAGTCTTGCAGTTGGCACTAAAACTCCAGAAGTAGATGAAATAATTTTAAAAAATTCATTTTGCTGGTTATGAACTGGCCAATGTAATACGATTGTGATTCAAGATGTTCAACAGACAGAACATACAAAACGTAATTATAAAAAAGAGAAATTCATTTGTAAATCAGACTTGCGTGCTGCATAAATCCCTATTTTAAGTTATGTATGGATATCGAGATTCATTCTTGTATTTGGTGATATACCCATATTCACACACTGGATTGACTGTGTACAGGCTATAGCTAGGACTATAAATTGCATTCAAGCCAACCTTTTTTTCCAGGTGAAAGGTGGTATTTTAACATTTTGTGAAAATTGCCACAATTTTGGCAAATAAGAAAGACTTTTGTTCGTAAGGTATTTTCTCTTTATAATTATACACAAATTTAAGGACCATATCATAAGAGGAGCAGATATAATGAATACTGTAAAATCACATATTTTCGTGGGGTCAAATTTTTGTGGTTTGAGGTAGAACATTGGTTCATGGGGATTTGATTTTGTGGATGAAGAAGTGTTAGTTGTTATTTATTTGAAATTTTACTTTTTGTGGAGGACATGATTTTGTGGGTTTCTTCATACCACCAAAACAACAAAAATTAAGCCCTCAATAAAATTAGTGATTTCACGGTAAATGTGATTAAAATTTTTGTGTTCTTTAAACTGCAACGAAAATCCAATATGCTAATGATTGGAATGATTTATCTCCTACAGTCAAAAGTGACTTTTTTTTTTCTTTTTGCCTGTAGTTTCTAGAATCTTTTTCACAAAGGAAGAAAAGAAAATCCTGCTGTTTATGTCATGTTGGTAAGAGTTATTCAAAATCTTTTATTGTTGATTCATTGTCAGTAATCGTAAAAAAAACAAAAAAAAAACAAGCATTCTGAGAGTATTGCATTAGCAATACTAGTCCCCTACCGGCAAGTGTAATCTGGTTCCGTTCCCGGTAAGAGTTGAAAATGCCATAATTCCGTCAAAAATTAATGAAGCGGGACGAAATGCAAACTTGATCTATAACTAATCAAGGTAAAGCCACATACCAAAAATCAGCTCAATATCTACAAGCGTTTAGAAGAAAATTGCGGAAAACCCGTAAAAATTGAAAAGGCCGTAATTCCGTCAAAAATCAATGAAGCTGAACGAATGCAAACTTGGTCTGTAACTCATCAAGATACACTCACATACCAAAAATCAGCTCAATATCTGCAAGCGTTTAGGAAAAAAGTGCGGAAAACCAAGTGGGACAGACTGACAGACAGACAGAGGGACAGACAGACAGACAGACGGACGGACAGACTCAGAGGAAACCTATAGTCTCCTCCGGTTTCACCGATAGGGGACTAAAAAAAGGTTCAGAAATTCCTTTTTGCGTCTCATTTTAATTGATTTTATGTTTATCATACTTTGTAATCAACATCAAATCAGTATCAAATATTATCACAAGAAACATCGTCCTGTACATCCACGAGTATAATGTTTATCAGAGCTGTCATAACACATAACAAGGTACCAATCATAAATCACTCTAGAATAGCTAACACATTTTCTAGTTGATTGGGGTTTTGGTTGGTAGCGGTCCTTCGCTTCCATCCACTGATGTATCGTTGACCACCACCGAATATGCAGGTGGTGAAAGCGTATAAAGTGGTGGTTCCTGTTTAAGTGAAGGTGGCATCGACAATACTATCTCTGGTTTTGTCATCTTGGCGTCGTTAAACGGCAACGAATGACTTTTGCTTCTCTGTAAAATATGTTGATAAAAATATTTGTTTTGAATTTACAAGTTAAGTTTATCTCTATTGGTATATAATTTGTTCTCTAAATCAGACGTAAAACTCTCTCTATTCCATGAAATTTTAGCCACCTACGTCACATGATGTCGTGTCGTAAAATAACTGCGTAAAAACATCATACCGTTAATCTTGTACGTTGTACATGGCCCTGTGTTTTTGATTTGTTGTAACATATGCGATATTTAGGGCAATAGCAGCATAAAACGATCAGGGTGAGTAGTGAGCCAAGACACATAGCTCCAATTATGGCGGCCACCAGTCCGGACTTCCCTTCACAATCGTCTGAGTCGTCCCCACACTGGTCATAGTCGTCACAATGCAGCGATTTATCGATGCATGGTCCTTTGGCACACCGGAACTCGTCATCCCCACAAATACCTAAATAAGAGCACAATCATTAGGCCAACTTAATTATAAATGTATGCATGGCTATCTTAAAATCCCTGATACATTAAAATATTTAGGTTTTAAAGAGAATATTTTTACCTAAATGGAAACGTGTGATATACAGTTCAAATCCATCATCATTTCGAGAAGCGTCACTTTCAAAGTTGACAGTCAATTGCGAAGCGACGGTGTACATTGCCTGCTCTGGTTCATGTTTTCCACAGAAGTATAATGCTAAGTCAAAAAAAAAAAAAATCTGATAATAAAAGCAGCAAAGAAACATTTGAAACTGTCATGTATTTGTTTTGTACAAACTAAGTATACATTTTGAGTGACGCCCAGATCTCTCTTCTGGCCCTCATTTGATTCTGAAACGAAGTATATGTATGAAATAATGAAATAATGGTCTAACAGCCGAGCTTTATGATAGACGTGATGGCTTTGACATTTTAATCGTCAGCTTCCCTTGCTTGTGCAGCAATGTACCTTCGTCGCCGGCGTGCGGGGTATGTGTCTCTCGGTTGATTCGATGCGCAGGGGCATGCTCTGTGTATGAACAATTTCTGGGGCAAGGTAAATTGTTGACAAACGGGTTGATGAGGCGGGAGTATCGGCTGTCTCGTTTAGGGTCATCATTTCGTAAGTTCTGTGGTCGATGCAGTGACCTTGTCAACAAGTGCAATTTGTCATTGAGTCAGATGCTGACTGACGTTTTTCATACTAATTGTTAGGCCATTATTTACACACTGGATTGTCGACGGATTTTTCCGTTATTTCCCGATCGTGGCAGGGGGCGCGCGGCGGGTGTGGCCGGTCGGCGGGGGATGCTCGCTCCTCCGTGGCGCCTGGTCCCACCTCTGATGTTTGGAGGTCCGTGTTTGCTCTGCTCCTATTTTGTATTATTACCTAACCTACTATATAAATTGTAATTAGGCATTTTGAACTGTTTCCTGATTCTTTTTAATGTTTTTGCAAATCATGAAACAGTCAAAACTGTTTACCTGGTCACAGAATGAACTGTTGCATGGCTGAACTGTTCCATTATGACGTCATAGTTAATTTCCCGTACTTTACAGCTATAATATTGAATTATATATAAATTGAAGCATTTTTATTCAATTTGAAATTATCATCTGAAAAGTAAACCTGATACCAATTTAAATATATATTCAATTTAATATCATTTCAAAGAAGAGGCCATGAACACCTTTTCTGAGGGTAGTTTGGGGAAAATGTAGGCCCCTTTCATTCAGTATAGATCTTTGCCATATACGTGCAATATTCAAATTTTTAAGACATCATTATGTTGTTTACTACATGTTTTTTTTTTCATTTATTAGTGCATGATAACATCACACCCATTAATTTTTCTGATTTTACACCAATCGGTGTGAATATTTGATTAATATTCAACTTGTTTAGTTTGGTTTTAAAAAATAATACAAACTTTTGTCAATGTATTTTAAAAGCCCTTGATTATTATGTCGATATCATTACTTTAAGAAATTATATAGTAGGTTAGGTAATAAAACACTTATTTCATGACAACTCGGGAAACAGTCAAACTGTTGTCCCTCGATAATGGGGAAGACCTGGGAAACTGTTGCCCTCGGCCTTCGGCCTCGGGCAACAGTTTCCCAGGTCTTCCCCATTACCTCGGGACAACAGTTTGACTGTTCCCCTCATAGTCATGAAATAAGTGTATATTGTTTGATGGACTTTTGGGCTTGGGTGCTGTTCGTTGTCTCCATATGTTTCATATGAAGATAACAAACAGTAATCAAGCTCAAAGGTCCATTGAAACAATACAGATTTGGAGTAAATCGCGGTGTGCTCCTTGTCGTGATCGGGCAAACGGAAAAAACGTAGACAATTCAGTATGAAAATAATGGCTTAACAATTTGCATGTCTTGAATAAACGTCAGTAAACATTGGACTTGATGATAAATGTATTTGCTGAGGGGTTATTGTATCAACCATAAAACTTACGAAATGTTGACTTAAACGAGACTGTTGTTATTATAATTTGTCAATAGCTTGCCTCGTTTTAGAAATTGTTCGTGTCCGGAGGACAACTCCAAATGCAGGTGATAATGGTATATTTTGTAATATGAATAAGGGAAGTTGACGATAGAAAAGTGGAAGTCATCAAGTTTTTTTCTAGTAAAATATCCAAATATAAAGCAGTTCAGTCAGACTCCGTGGTGCAAAATTATCTTGTTAAAACATTCTGATTGTACACACAAGTACTTTGAAGTTGATATTACAAAATGCTTGAGTTTCTGATTGACAATATATATGTGGTGTTTGGAGACCAGGTCTTCCAACAATCTTTTGGAATTCGCATGGGTACTAATTGCGCCCCGTGGTTAGCAGACCTATTTTTGTATTCATATGAAGCAGAATATATTCAAAATCTTATACATGAGGAAAAAAAATCTCATTGCTGTGGCCTTCAACTCGACATTTAGATATATCGACGACGTATTATCAATTAAGTTATTTCCATTCATATGTCGGCACGATCTATCCCAGCGAGCTTGAAATAAAAGATACCACCAAGTATGACACACCTGTTTCATATTTAGATATTTTACTAGACCCTTATCACCTGCATATGGGGTATATATCTCTCAATTTATTCGATAAGCAAGAGCACGCTCTACGTATGAACAATTTCTGAAACGAGGTAAGTTATTGACAAACAAGTTGATGAAACAAGAATATCAACAGTCTCGTTTAAAGTCATCTATGGTCGATACAATGAACTTATAAGCAAATACAATCTATCATTAAGTCATATGCTGACTGACGTTTTTCATACTAATTGTTAGGCCATTATTTACACACTGAATTGTTGACGGATTTTCCCGTTATTTACCGATCATGAAAAGAAGCACAAGGCGGGTGTGGCCGGCCGGCAGGGGATGCTCACTGATCCATGGCACCTGATCCCACCTCTGTTTTTGGAGGTCATTGTTTGCTCTGCTACCGATTTGTATTGTTTTGATGGACTTTGAGCTTGAATACTGTTCGTTATCTTCATATTTCATGATCATTTTTCATAACCAAAATCTTTCTAATTTCAGAATATTATTAAGAACCATAACAACACAAAGACGTAATCTGAAACCATCATATGAGATAAACATCACAAATGAATACTAGTAAGTCTTAATCTATTTTTAACCTTTCAGAGGAGTAGACGTGTTTCCATCTAGCAGCCTAAGTTTATCCCCGGGACATATCGTCTCTAGTTTATGGACAACCACCATCAGGCGCGAGGGATTTCCAGAATGAGTCACGTCAGAGGTAACAACAGAGGCTGTGCAGTTAAAGTTGTCTGGGTAGTCATCCTTTCTTGTCAGCTTCAGACGCGTAAAGGACCCTGGGAGCATCAAGGTCTTACCACAGTAATCCTCCAGATAAACTTGGAATAGACAATTTCAGTTTTACTTAAAATGATTATCTATCTTGTCCTCTCTTCACAGTGGACAGAAAATCCTTGGCTAGAGAAAATGACATTTACAGTTTCCTTATGCATTTTGGAAAAACATAATATCTTCTGGGAAGTTGAATTATATACAAGAAGAGAATTGTATTACCTTCAGTAGTATCATTACCTTTAGTTGAGTGTCCTTTAGCTATCATCCACAAAGATAGAAATATAAAACTCCGAAAAAATGCAAGTATCATCTTTCTTCTTTTTAATATTACATAAAACATCTAAAATCAAACAGGAAGATTGCAATGTAGGGAAAATGTGTGAGATTTTAGCCGTTTTCGTCATATGCAATAAAAAACCCTTATCAGCTGGTCGCTCCGGGTACAGGTAAACATACCCAAAACTGTCTGTTAGAGTACACCTGAGTGATATATATCAGGAGTGATATATATAGTCTTACATGCCAAATAGTCCCCATGATAGGGTTGGTACAGATAACCAAATATTTACTGTAATCACTAATTAAATTTAATCATAGCAGAGCTCTTCTCGATTGAAGATAAAATACTTATGGCATACATGTTTTATTGGATATAACAATGACTGTGTTTCCTTTAGAAAATTTATTGTCCTATTTTATGACTCCTCTTCTTCTGAAAATATTACATGTATTTCTAAAGAATGTACGAATCCTGTGATTTACGGCATTAACATTGCCTGGTTTACGATTAATTCTACACGTAGTTCTCTTTACTGGTTAAAACATTCAAAATAAAAAGAGCAATATAAATGCAAGTCAGTTTAATGCTAGTCAACATGATTCGACATTTAGAGTACAAGATCTGGTTAAATATGTGAAAAAAGATAAAAGATAATTAAATCCGCTTTCTTGTATGCTTATTTTATGCCTAGGAGAACATTGGACTGTTGTGGCTCCTGCTTTTCTCCATGTGCGCTTTCTGTAGGTGAGGCGGAAGACTCTTTCCAACAGAGGAACTGTAAGACGACAGGGGTGCTAACATAGTCTGTATATCCTCCTCCACCAACCTAGTTCTTCTACTTCGTTGGTTTTCGACTATATTGAAGTCATGATCGTTTTCAATTTCATGCAGACTTATAGATCCACCCTTTACTTCATGACCAACAGTGTCCATCAGATTGTATCGTTTAAAAAACAACCGCTTGATATTTTTTTCTATAGAGTCAGACATGGGCGGTTGTGCTTTTGACAGCTTAGCAGTTAGCCTATCTAGAGGAAATTCTTTTATCTCAGAGTTCTCTCGAGTCACAGTTTCATCCCTGATGGAAACAATATTGTAATAATTAACTTATTAATGTAAGATAAACTATGGGTATACATTTCAAAATTTACGTTTTCAATTATATCCCTTAAGGTTCCTTAAAAAATAGGAAAGAACTCAGATATATAAGGCAGTTAATTACATTTCCAACAGTGAAATACTGTGATTTATTTTTTGAATAAAAGTGATATGTCACAGTGTGAAAGGATACCAAAGTGATATTATGTAGCAGTGTGAAAGAATATCAGAAGTGCTTCAAAACTCTTTTCTTTCCTTTCAAGAGGAATTATGTCCAAAATACTACCTGCTCTGTTATAAGATATAGAGAGTAAATATACCATCTTGACATAGACTAAAACTGTCTACGTTTCTCCAAATATGTTGACATCCATGTTTTCAATTTCACAATGGCTAAGCTATGACATATCAACCCTCAACTATAAATTCACTGCCTATGACACCGTGTAACGAAAAGACTGAACAAAAGGAAAGTGTAATAAACAGAAAATTCAATATGATGTAGTTGTATTTGATATATTTCTCTCTTGAGACAGGATTTTTTGATATTTTTACTCGTGCTTCTCACTTGTGAAAATATAAAATAACCCTGTTCAACTCGTGAAATAAATTGTATATCCTACCACAAACTTTTGAATATTTTCTATTTATTATATGAAATAAACTTCGCCCAAATAGATATTTATCAACTCACCAGATATTGATCGGCGCGATTTTGTTGTTCAGAGGTCGCTTTTGCAGGATACAGCGTCTTATCAGAAGGAAAACTGTAGCCATAATAACAAAGAATCCTACAGCCAGGCCAAAGGATTTGGCTCCATTCAAGGTGCAATCATACCGTCCAATTAAATTGTTACAGTCGTAGAATACAGAACAGGGATTTGGAACGCACTCATTGATGTCTTCTTGACACCATTCACCTCGATATCCTGGATAACAATCACAACGATAATTCTCGAAACTGAAAGCTCGTGATTTGTCCATGCAGGGAACATTACTTGTGTTTGCACAAAGGCCGTGAATACAGGGATTAATTAGAATGTAAGTACTGATCCTAAATTCTTTGCTGAAAGAAACTTTTCCTCTATCAAATTCATCATGGGCACGGGCTGCAAACTCTGCAAGCCCACTGAATGACTTGTGTATGTTTTGCTTGATGCTATATTCCCTATGAATGCCGGTATGACCATCAATCGCCTTATTGTCCCTTTGTTGTTCAAGCAAGAAATAACTACCAGGAGTGTTGTTGTGCATAGTCCCTAGATGTACAGTGTCATTGCTGTCTACATCATCCAATATGAGAAATCCAAAGAAGATATGTCTAGTTTCATTTCCATTCAAAAGAACTTCCAAGGTGATGTTGTTTTTGGTGCAATTCATGTCAAGATATCGTTGTTTAAATGTCAAAATAGGTTCATCATTTTGTGGAAGAACCGTTATTTTGATGTTCTTTTCGATCTGGAGAGGTGTCAGTTGAGATGTGACATTGACTTCGCTGACTCTTACAGTTATGACGTCATCTCCATTGTAGTCTCGGCGAGATAGGTAAGTTAGGACACCATCTGTTGTAAGGTTTGCCGATCCATGTATTGGTGACTTGATTAATGTGATAGATAGTGAGTCATTCTCTGGATCACCCACTTTGATTAACTTTGACGATGTTACATCTTCTTCGTACTGAATTTCAGTTGTTTTAATGAATGGCGGGTTATTTTGGACGGTCTTAGATATTTTTCTTAAAGCAAACATTCGAGGGGACTGCATTATTCCTTTTTCAGCAGCGCTCCGTTTTTGTCTCTCTTCATGCCCCTTGTCAACGAGAAAGATATTGCCACATACCTAAATTAAAATAGGACATTCCATCAAATTGAAATAAAGAAGATTATCAGTATTGTGTGAACCAATCATTCATAATTTGAATGTCCTGTCAAGATGGAGATTCGATCAGCTGACAACAGCTGGACAAACTTTACAAAGAAACACACACAGGAAAATGTAACGTCATATTAAAATACATAGTCAAAAAATTGCACTACATTTGTACTTGAGTCTGCACTTCACATAATAAATAAACAAGTATTTTAATATGCATGATATGATAGGGCATAGAAAAATGCAAATGTATTAGACATCAGTGGTTGGGAATAATTGCTTTCGCTCTCGGTACAAAAAAAATATTTTTAAAAAATCAGACTGAAAAACAATTTGATCGATTGCTAAAAAAATCAAAAAAAAAAAAAAAATTAAACTCTCCATGCGAGGATCGAACGAAAAAAAAAACGATTCTTCACTTTCATAGACATGTAACGTATATCACTGTGCTATCGTCGCTTCATACTAATTGGGTTTTAAAACGAGGAAGCATCGTATTTACAATGCCTTTTTTGATAAAGTTAATGTTTATGGTATCTGCATGGATCTTCTCTTCATTCTTTAAAATGTTCCTTCGTTTCTTTAAATTGAAAAGCACACAACTGAGGTTTTCAAATCGAGGAGAGTTAACCAGGTGGTAGCAAATTTATCGAAAAACGCATAGAGGCATGGGCACAAATTTGTAATATTCCTAAAACATTTCGATAGAATTTTATGAATTACATACTAGCAACAACCAAGCTTTATGATAAATGTGATGACTTCAACTTTTCAATCGTCAACTTCCCTTACTTATGTAGCAATATACCCTTATCACCTGCATATGGGGTTTATGTCTCTCAGTTGATTCAATACGCAAGAGCATGCTCTACATATGAACAATTTCTGAAATGAGGCAAGCTATTGACAAACAAGTTGATGAAACAAAGATATCAACAGTCTCCTTTGAAGTCATCATTTCGTAAGTTTTATGGTCGATACAATGCCCTTGTCACCAAATACAACCTATCATTAAGTCTAATGCTGAATGACGTTTTTCATACTAATTGTTAGGTCATTATTTACACACTGAATTGTTTACTGAATTTCCCGTTTTTCCCGATCATGACAAGGAACACATGGCGGGTGTGACCAATCGGCAGGGGATGCTCACTCCTCCATGGCACCTGGTCCCACCTCTGACGTTTTGTACAGGTCCGTTTTTCCTCTGCTCCGGATTTTTATTGTTACAATGGACTTTTGAGATTGATTACTGTTCGTCATCTTTATATTTCATGTTGCTAGAGCGTTTCTGACAGATTTATCATACGATAAGCGTGCTGAGATACTTCTTTTACTAAGTATCTGAATTTTTTTTAACTAAGGATTTCGATGAAACATATTCTTACACTTCCACAAACCAAAATTTAAAAAAGGGAAGTAGTTTTTGGTGTGTAAATAAAAGATATTAAAACTTTAATCAAGAGAAGTCAGAATAGATAAAGAAAGTTGAAACAACACGCCAGAGTCGTATGTTCACGTTCAAGGATGTTTGTAGCATGTGCAGTGTTAGCAAATCAAAGACTAGCCAATAAAGTATAAACATAACAATAACAGAACTCGTGCATGTTTACTAATACTGTTTGTTATTAAACTATGAAGAATGTTGTCATTGGATATTAAGAATTTTCTTATAATTTCAATGCAGTAAACTGAAGTTAAAATAGAGAAATTTAAATAAGTAAACAAACCAGCTTTGCAACCTTGTATATACATCTTTTAAAATGTAACATTTAGTACGAAATCACTTATTTATCCATTATTTGAAGGCATATTTAAGCTAATCAAAACGCAAAATCAGAAAAATATTTCCTTTTCCGTAAGATCACAGGAATATAATACATCGACACTTTTAATATCATGTGACGGAACAATGAAATTTTCAAGTGCGCATGAATTCTTGCCAAATATCAAAGAAATGCACCCTATACCAAATATCTATGAAATGCACCCTCATTCTTTTATTTTATCACAATTTTAAGAATAAGATAATTTGGGTGACTTATGCTTCTAACATTTCAAATTATAAGTAAACCATAATGAGAACAAAAACCTGTATTGTCATTGTTCCTCTCCGGTAATCAATGGCCGATGATGTCTTGCAGTTTGTTTCAACATCTTCCCATTTCTCATTTTCTATTGAAAAAAATATACAAATATACATAAAGAAAATAAGGCAAAACACAGGTTAAAACTTAAGCACTTTCATTATTATCATCAGACACATAAGTGACGTACCTTTGTTCCAGAAGACCAAGAGGGGACGCTCTTGATTGACATCGTATTTGTGATGGTTGAATGGCAAATCTAATACAAACTTGCTTTCGATATTGGTTATTGGTGATAGGTAAAACATATGCTCCGTATTGCCAATGAATCTGTTTTCAAAGCATTCGGAATAAACACTCTCATTCAAGCAATTGAAAAATGAAGAAATGTTTCAGAATCATTCTCGACTGGTTGCATTTTACATTGTATTTTAAATTTTTACCTTTTCTGAAGACTTCTTTCGGTGTTGTTCTGGGTGTCAATTGGATCCACTATATACCGCTTATACCTGTCAGAAGCTGCAGTACCATAATCACGCATGACATCCGACTTAGAAAGCATTCCAGCAAGAATTATATTATCTTTACCTTTAAATGAAAAAAATATTAAGTTATGAAAAGTATTTCAGGTTTTCAATCTAGATAACTTTACATAAAAGGATAAATATCACGGTATCGAGTGTCGAAAGAAAACGGTGGTAAAACATTACCAGTAATTGACAATACAGGCATTAAAGTAAGTGGATCGTTTAACGTTTCCTTCGTTGTTTTGGTAAAATCAATCTGTTCATCTTGTCCACCTGTATTTAATACATCATTCAGAAATAAGAATCTGAGGTAACCATTTGCTTTGATAATTATCAAGAGTTAAATACAGTAATGTTATGAAATTCTGAATACATGCATTTTATTTTGCTTACGAATTATGCATGTCGGCTTAGGAATTACACTGCTTGATAGATGTGATCTCCCAACAGCAAACAATTTAATATGCAAACATAATCCTGGCTCCATGTTGAAGAACGACTGGTTTGGTACATCTTTGTGATTGGTTTTGTTTTTTGAGGCAAAGGCGCCCACTGTTGCATTTAGAGATATATCATCAATCAGAAGTTCACCATTTTTAATAGATGCTTTCTTGGATTCCGTCAGTCCCACTTTTATTCTTGGAAATATGTCGTCAGCATCTTTCTCAGATCCAATCTGCCATTCTAAATATGGTGATAAAGAGTGTATATGAAATGTGTACTTATATACTTACAAAAGGCATAGTTTTAGAATTTTTAATCTTACCATAAAATTCAACGTCATCTGTGCCATTTTGCCATTGAAGTCCAATTTCGCTGGTTGACAATGAAACATCAAAGGTTTCCTCATCGTCTTGGGTAAACATGTTTTGCACAATAAGGTTTTCGACATCAGGTGGTGATAATTCCACTGTAATATTACAGGATCCACTTCCAACCAGACCAGCAGAATTCACAGCCCTCACCGTAATATAATATGTTTTACCGTGTTCCAAAGGAGCCTTCAGATCAGAGGATAAAAACTTCCTTCCTTTTCCGACGGGTAGGTCACTCAATATGTCATTATTTTCTGCAATGGATTAATATTTGAGAAAGAGAAATTCAATAAAAAGAAGAATTAAAATGTAAATACGTTATCTTCATACCTGGTGATGTACCCGCATCTATTTTATAGTCGACAATTTGTCCAACATCTTCTTTGCAATCCCAGTATGCTCTTAAGCTGTCATTGGATCCCTGATAGAGAGAGGGTTCCTCTGTTGAAGACAGGGGATCTACACATCGGACATAATTAAATTCTGGTGGGGTGTTATCAATAATTACACCCTTAGAAGTGGAATGAGTAGTGATGCCTGCAGAATTGACAATCAGGGTGTGGATGAAATAAGTTGTAGAATCATATTGAACAGCGCTTCCGTTTGTCCTATCGCCAGACATTTTTGATGCTGTCAGGTTAAGATTTTCAATGGTAAATTGTAATATTTCAAACTCTGTCGTGGAGGGCTTGCAATCTTGCCTACATCCAATATTGCAATTTTCAGCACATTTTTGACAGAATGTAGCATATAACAAATAACCATCAAATGAAGCATCTGTCTCATTCTCATACTCAGACACCTTAACCCAAAACTCTTCAATAAAACTGTCCTTTTCAAAAAATGACGACCCGAACATACAGGGCTTGTCAGCAGGAATCGGTTCTTTCATGATCTCTATGGTACTGCTAGCTTCAAATGCAATAGGAAAATCGATATTTTCTATAGGTGGCACGTATTCATTTTCGTTCCAGTTATAGACACCAAACGTACCATATTCTTCAAATCGCAAACCACTAAATTCTGCTATCTGTTCAGATCGTATGAAAAACTTAACATTCCAGACATTTTTTCCAACAAATGTGCTGTTTGTTAATTGGATAGTATATTCTGTAGTTGAATTGGTTGGGTCAAAATCTACTGGTATTTGTCTTGATGTTGAAATATACTGGTCAAATACCCATACAAAAACAAACCACTGCTTATCTATTGTGTACCCTGGTATATGAAAGCCAAAGCCAAAAATATCATTCAATCCTAAAACAGAACTCTTCTCCGTATTTGATGTATGGTTGATATTTTTGGACATGCCCGAGTACTCTATACTTTTATTTAGCCTTTTCGAATCATTCATCATTTCCGTATTGTACGTTTCAAAATTTGTTATGTTTGGAAAGGAATCAGATGAAGCATTGTTTAAAACATAATCGATGTCAGTTTGATTTTCTTGAACTTGGAAATCTAATGTTTCTTTAACAAATTGACTTCCAGTCGCAAGAAAAATTGAAGTCACCATTTGTTTGCCTCTAGCAGTTGTGAGTTTACTGGAATAATTTCCCGCTATAACTTCTTTCTTCATCGATTCTACACCCCCTTTTATAATGCCGCGTAAATTATCATCATGACGGATTTCAATTTTCACTTTGGAACCAGATATCAGGACACATTCAGATTGGAAACGCCCTTTCATAGGTACCAGTTCATTTTGTGCGTCCAATGGTCTTTGACTTTGACACTGATATGCCATGTCTGAATGTGCTAATGCAATAGTTCCATTTAGTTTATCTGTAAAAGGCTGGAATGCAGCTTCTTTGAACCAGCTGTCACCAACTTTGACTGTTCCTTTTGTTGGTGGGGTTGTATCGCATCTGATGTGTTCCGACAAACTTGAAGTCTGGAGTCCAGCCCTACTATTAGCTGTCACTTTGACAACGTAGGTTTTGAATTGTTTTAGAGGTAATTCATAAAACGTCATTTTGTTTACATTTTTGACAGTTACAGCTTTTTCTAGAGTATAAATATTTGTGTTTTTTTCTGGGTCACTACCTCCATCATAGCATGTTGTTGACGTATACAACTTGACCTCATAGTCTAAAACACCAGATTCATTATCTTGAAATCCTTTCCATTCAATAGTTATCTGATCTTCATGTTTGATGTAAACAACATTATCAGAATATTTTCCTCCAATGGTAACTTTCCCTTTTTCAGGAGGCGATGTGTCAATAATGACCGCTTTGCCAGTGCTTCCAACACATTTGCCTGTAACATCTGCCGCAATAACAGTGACAAAGTAACTGTGACCGTGAAGAAGAGATAACTGTTTTAAATCTTTAAAAGTGTCCTTCCCTACTCCTTCCATCTTCTTGGTGTCAAAAACCTCACCAAAATCCCTAAATGTATGGCAATCATGTGTTCCATTGGGGTAAGATGGAGATTTCGATGAAATACCAACTTCAAAGTGATCAATACCCATATCTGCCTCAAAGCCCGACCAGGAAACGGATATTCTGTCAGTCATATATTGGGCAACATTATATTGGACATGACCTTCTGTTAATACTTCTCTGAAACCAACCTTAATTCCATCTGATGTTCCATCCTGGTAGCTTCCAGCTTGGCTATATGCCCGTACTGTTGCATAATATGTTACAGTTTTCGATGTAAGATTTAGACCTTTGAAAACATAATTGTTTGAAAGTCCTGCGTCAAGAAAATAGTGAACATTACTTCTGGTCTCTTCGAATCGCACATCATTTCCCAGAGCAACTTCATACCTTACTATTTTCTCTGTTGGGTCTCTGCTATTCGGTTTACCAAATGGGTCCCAGTTGATATGCAGTTCGCTTGTGGACTCTTGATAGTCTCGGTCATTTTCTGATCCATCCCTCACGGTTGCAGGGGAAGGAGGCTGAATTTTGACAGTGAGACCATCGGATCTACTTTCACGAACCCTTCCCAGTGCATCAGTGGTTCTTATAATGTTTATATAAGTTACCCCATTTTTTAGGTTTATGAGATCGGAGTAGAAATGATGTAAGGCAGATGGCACAGGTTGAAATTTTTGTACAACTTTACCGTCAATGCTTTCCACTCCCCAGTCAACCGATTTAATGTGACAATTATCTGAATATCGCCAGTTCCCCTCCAGTGAAGACAATGATTTCTGATAGTCTATATCACTTTCTGTTGGACCGTCATAAACATAGAGCTTGGGATTTGGACTTATTATGACTGGATCGGATCTCACTTGTCTATACAGTCCTGCTTTATTGAACGTCCTTACAGTCACTACAACATTACTGCCTGTTTCCATAGCTAAATTAGGAATTAGGATGATGTCATTTATATCCCAGTTACTAAAATCGAGAATATTGGTAGTTTTCCCATCACACCCAACAGCTATTTGATACCTAGGAGAAAAGATAAAAATAGAATTTCAAAAAACTTAAAATACTAAAGCTGACCTGAATTGAGAATTCGACTTGTAGTTTCATTTCATAGCCATATCAAAACTGAATGTTAAATATATTATCTATATATTGACCTTTCATTAGGAAAATGGAGAAATATTAATGGTGATTTTTTCGTATTTGAAATTTTGCTATGAATGTTTGCTGATAACAACAGCATTTATTTACAAATATCATATCATTATTATATCATCTTCATTTGCAATTAACAAGTGCATGAAGTGAACTGAAAACGCTGTGAAGGATATTAAAAATTGATCGAAGTATCAGTTGAAAACTTAAATGGATTTTTTTTTTGTCCAATTGTTCCTGTGATACTTCGATTAAATGAATGTAAGATTCATTGAATGCTTTTTTAGATAATAAAACAAAAAGATTTTTCATCATCTTAGCTATAATTAAGTTTGAAGCAATCAACAGGTGTAAAAATACACAATAATGCTAAATTCAAAATGCCTTTGCGTTCAGGCGAGGTAGAGTTTTTGATCAAAATTAAATGGAGCAAGCGCAAAATGAAAGTTGCGATTAAAACAAAAAGCTTAGTTAGATATCCATTCTAAGGTTTTAGTGTAAAAATGCATAATGGCCAAAGTTGAGATATTATCCCTTTCTTGGGTCCAAAGGGAGGATATAACATTTTTGGATGGTTCGTATGAGGACATTGTATTCTATTAGTTTTTAAAATTACAAATTTCTGCCTTCTTTCTGTCTAATCTTTTAGATTCCTTACCACGCGATGAGTCATTAGGCTTTCAAAAAAGCATTTTTTCAGGATTTCCTTACCATTTAAACTTTGGCTGATATAGATTACGCTTAAGCATGCACATAATCTAGGCGTCATAAGAAAATATTAAGAAGGTGACATAAGAAAAAAGGGGGAAAGGGGAAAACTTCTCCTGAGGGCAAAATAGAAATATAAGCGATAGTTTTAGGCGTTTAGGGTTTTCTTTAATGTATGTCAAAATGCAGAACCAAAATGCTGTATTTTCGTTTTATGATTTGACTACATAATTTTAAACTCAGTGCATATGCTTAGATAATTTAGACATTATAAGTCATACAAACCTGTCGATCCCGGACTCAGCGTCGGTCCAGCTTGTAACTCGAGCTTCTAAATATGTTTGCGGAATCTGGCATTTTTGAACACTCCTTGTTGCATTAGTTGTTGCAGTTGTGGTCACAATTTGTACAATTCCTCCAGTTGGTGGAGTGGAATCCACGACTATCTTGAACGATTTATAAGTCTCTAAACCGGCAAAATTTTGCATTTTAACTATTATATAGATATGGGCAAAGTTGCCATTCTTTATTTTCAGGCGAAGATCACGTGTCCAGCTTCTCGTCAGTTTTGAAAATGTATGAAATTCAGAGATATCCGGATATGTTTCGTTCCTACCGATGCCAATGGCAGTGTAAGCTAAAACACTTTCCCATTCTTCTATCATTGCCCATGTGCAGATGACCAAAGATTTACGCACAGAAATAAATGGAGTACATGTGAAATTGTGAAGTTCAGGAGGACTTGTGTCTATAGTGATCGGAGGTGATGACACGACCATTTCATTTCCAGCTTTATCCTTTGCGCCAATATTGACGTAAATTGTCTGTCCATGAGACAACTTCAAAAATCCATCAGGAATAAAGTTATTCGCAGTGTTAATTTTCTTCGAAACATCTTCTTGTTTTGGAAGGCTTCCAATCGACCACCATGATTCTGAAATCTTTGACGAATCCTGTATGTTCCACTTCATATTGACAGAATCTATACTAGTCTGGTAGAGAGGCATTGGATTTGACGTAACTGCGTTTCCCTCATAGCTCATATCTATTTGCGGTTTTGTGGTGTCTAATTTGATACCATCAGAACAAGATATTATGTATTCGCCCGTTGGGCAATTGAAACCAGTTTTTGCTCGAACAGTTATGTAATATGTGGAACCCTCGTATAATGATTTATGTATTTGAGCTTGACCAAAGCTTTGATTATGCATAACAATTCCATAGTCAGTAAACGGCAGAACATCATATGTATATGGCTTGTATCCTATGGCCCATTCATACTGAATAATATTACATGCCTCACTTTCGAATCCATTGAAAGACATGGCAAGTGATGTTCTGTCATAAGTGAAGTCTTCATCGGATAATGCCTCACGTCCATCGAAAACAGTTCCAGGTACGTTACTCTTCATTACGTAAATAGGTTTCGAATTAGCTTGTAATGACAACAAACCTGCTCCATTCCGTACTTTGACCATAACGTAGTAATACTGGACTTCTTTGTCACTGATGGTTGAAGGGGTTAAGGTAAGACTAAAATGATATAACGAAAAATAAAGAAAAAAACCTTAAGACCTTAAAATTATTCAACTTTGGTATATTCAATATTAAGAATTTAGATGTAACTAAAAAATGAAATACCCAGAAAGTCGCACTACGTTTCCTTCGTCAAATTCCTTGAACCCGTTTGTTATTGATGTGTCGTTGGTGTCGAGTCCAATTGCTACCCATACCTTCACTATTCCGCTCTGATAGTCTGCAGCCCTCCAGCTGACCGTCATGGCTGACTGATCAGCGTGCATCACTTTACCATCTTCTTCTTCCTCTTCGACCTCTGGTAGTCCAATATGAACCTACAACAAATTAATAATCCATTACACACCTATCTTGAAACTCAGATTTATCAAATCTGGTGCCCATTTATAAGAAAAGTCTCATCGGGGTTTAAATTATATAAAATCAAAAATGCATCATGAGAGTACTTTCAAATAGAAATGCGGGAAATATGCTTTAACTGATATTACAAGCACATTTATACTTATGTAATAGTCACAATAGAAGAACATGAATATAAAAGCTTTCTTGCCATGCGAGTCCGTCTTCCGTCCACTCTTTGAGTAATATTTTGAAACCTTACTGTCGTATCATCTAATTCAAGGCCGATGATTTGAACAAATATTAATGTTCACTATCTTATACCTGTGGCTTATAACTTGTAGGAATTTTCAAAACATTGTTGTTCAGAGAACATTTGTCATATTTCTTTTCCTAAGGGATAAACGTTAAAACAGACTTCACTCTATAAGGGAATCCAAATATATATTTTGTCATTTTTGTCCAAATGCTTTAGAGGAGTGCTAGTGCTTCATGAAATATGCCTACGTGCAAGTCTGTGTGATTTACACACCAATAATTCACACTAAACTTAAAAACATTCCTTATATTTACATTTTACATGTTTAAATGCACCAAAAATATGCTCAATGTTTGAATTTCTTGCTGCCCTATATCGTCATATTTTTATTAACATCTTTGTAGCCTCATTGTGGCGTCATTTTAGCGCGAGTTTCTCCGTGTATATTTCTACGCGTGAGTATACACAAAAATGGCTTTCAAATCAATTTCACAGTTGGCTTAGTAGAAAAGCACAGCAAATGTAAATATAAGGTTTTATCCTTATTTTCGTTATTTCTCAACTCTCCTTAAAAACTCTCCTTAATAGGTATAATCCTTTAATAAAAAGGTGTTGACTACCTTACTTAAAACTAAACGCGATTCGTAAAATGCAGAATATCAGCATCATTGAAATCCAAAAACAGTGTTGGAGCAAGGTTTTTAAAAATATCCATCTTTAGTACGCATGGCAAAATCGTTAATCAAGATCAAAACCGAATAAGCAGAATTATGTATCGTTGCTTAGTGTACATGTATACCAAGTTTTGTTGAAATCAGAAACATAAGAAAGTGAATCTACCTGTGAAATGACTGGTGCCGATGTATCGATCACCACGCCCTCTGATTCATGTGATACAGGCATATCAGCATTATTGATGGCGACTATTTTTACGAGATATTTTCTTCCATTTTGCAAAGAAAGACCAGTTAAAGTAATATTTTCCGCAGTGGTACAAATAAAGTCTTCAATCGCCGGGTAGAATTTGATTTTCATTCCTTTATACATTTCATACACTGTAAGACGGTATTGCTTTATGCCGGACTCTGGGTCTATATATTTCCAGGCATATGAGAGCGACTGAGAGTCACTCTGAAAGGAGCTTCCATTTTTTGTGTCATGAATGTATTTTAAAATCGGCGAGGTTAGATCTATGATAAAACCACTTGATTTCATTTTCACTGACAATCCGGCTCCATTATATGCCGTGAGAAGTGAGTAAATATAATCTCCATGAGCAAAACTCATCGATAAATCGTCTAATTCACTTTTGCTACCGACATCAAAAGCTTGGGTTTTCACATCATTTACGTAAACATCTACAACATAATGATCTATGCCACTTTCGTCATCTGAAAAGTTTCCCCATCTAGCTGATATCAATGCAGATTCAGAGGAGAAGAATTTGTCCTTCTTTGGGTCATCTCCATCATAAACCCATCCAGTATTTGGTTCAGATGTGTCCACGAGAACTAAAAAATATCAAGCGTTAATTTAAACGATAAAAAGATTTGTTAGTATGGAAATGAATGTTGCAGCTATCGCAGAAAATGCTTAACCCGCGTGTGGGTGTTAAGTTTTTTTTTTCTGCAAAAGCTGCAACGTTAATTCCCATACTAACAAAGAAAGAAAGAACTTTTATTATATCTATGTCTATATAAATTAGCATACCAAGTAGGATTAAGTTGGTTAAATCGTGTATTATTTAAATATACGTCATAGTAAGTTTCATTGGTGGAAAAACCACTGTTCAAGAAATCTTTACAAGTGGTATGCTTAGTGGCTTTTACTGACTGATGATCGACAATGGTTTTCTTATGAAATAAAGGAGATAATATTCAGTTGATGTAAATATATGATTAAGAAGAAAAAAAAGGTTCTGCAAACCTAGTTCTTCAATTCAGTCAAGTAAGGTAAAAGGTTACCTCCGTTAGACAGCTGTTTTATAGCTTTTGAGTTGAGTGCACTATTTTTTGCTTCTATGACACTGTAGTAAGTGGCATTGTGTACAAGTTTTGCAGAGGAACATATATTTGTTGTTCTTCTAGATAATGTTTTCATGGCTATGATGTCGTCAAGGCCAGGGTACGTTCCAACACCCCAATGATATCTTGGAAAATAAAAATACATTAGGAAAATGACTACATAAAGAAAATATTTTGAGTTCATATGAGTTCTTCAAACAAGAGGCCCATAGGCCACAACGCTCACCTAAGTCACTATGGCGCTGCTGTTAATTCGATGTAAAACACTGACCGCAACCCCACCCTACTACATGCGGTCATGATTTGAACAAATTTGACTTCTCAAGTACACTACACAATAATGCTTCCATATGACTAATCGTGGCTTTGCAGTTCTTAAGAAGAAGATTTCCAAAGATTTTTCTTATATATTTGATTGTAAAACTTTCATCCCCTATTGTGACCCACCCAAAAACGGGGGTTATGATTTGAATACTTTAAAATCTGTACTTCCTCAGGAAACTTCTACCTAAGTTTAAACTATACTGGCCTAGCGGTTCTTGAGAAGAATATTTTTAAAGGTTTTTCATTCATATTTCAATGTTAAACTTTCATCCTTATTGTGGCCCCATCCTTACCCCGGGGGTCATAATTTAGAATCTACACTTCCTCATGGAACCTCCACATCAATATAACCTTTTCTTTCCAGGTGGTTCGTGAGAAGATTTTTAACGGTTTTTCTTGCACACTTTAATGTAAAAAGTAAAACTTTCATCCTTATTGTGGTCCCAACCAACCAAGGGGATATGATTTAAGCAATTAAAAATCTACACTCCCTCAGGAAGACCTAACGTAAGTTTCAATTTTACTGACCCAGTGGTTCTTTAAAAGGAGACTATTAAAGATTCATCTTATATATTTCAATGTTAAACTTTCATCCTCTCTTGTGGCCCACCCTGACCCGGGGGTCATATTTTTAACAATTTAGAATCTATACTTCCTCATAAATCTTCTGAACTTCACATTTTATCTTTTCTTGTTCAGGGGTTCTTGATATTTTTTTAATGACCCGACCCTAATTTTGCCCTTTTTTAAATTAAAAAATATATCCCCTTGGTAGCGGACTTGCTCCTTCATTTGAACAATTTAGAATCCCCTCTACTAATGATGTTTTAGGCAAACCTTGGATAAAATTGGACCAGTGGTGCTAGAGGGAAGTCGAAAAAGAGAAAGGGGACAAGGACGAACAAACAAACAGAAGCTGGACATTGGTGATCAGCTGAGGTTAGCTAAAAAGGCACATTTATCAAATCATCAAAAAACTACCCACTGTACAAAATAATGCTTCTGTAAAACTAAGAATATATAAATATATATAACTACTCTTCGATCCCAGACTCTGGGTCATAAAAGCCTTTCCAGCTGGCACATATCCGATTATCTTCAGATTGATAAGTTTGATCATGTCCTAGAATATTTCCATCCAACACCTTCCCTGCTATGGGTTTAGTTCTATCAATAAGTATTGGGTCATCGCTATGTCCAGCTGTTGACATTTCGACTACAAAAAATAACAGGATAATATATATACATGTATAAAGACAACAAATAATAATTATTTCCCAAGTACGTATACTAGCGACAAATTTGTCCAATACGTATACATCGACTTTTTCTTGTCGGAAGAGTGATGTGTTACCTTAATTAAAATATTTGCGCTTACCATTGTTTACTGCCCTAAGTCTTAACCAAACCGGTTCCCCATCATTTAGGTTTAGATCATTGATCAAAATAAAGGTATTCTCCCTTTCTGAATAATCAACCTTGGAATAACCCCGAACCTCTACATCATGCTTTGTTTTACCGAGTCCAAAATCAACCCGCGACAAAAATGATTCCTTGTCTTCTGCTTCAAAGTATATAACCATGAGATTAAAGTCCTCATCAAATAATAAATCCGAGACGCCATTAAATAGAGGTGGTGTTGTATCAACAACGATTGGGATGGAATGACACATGGTGGTGACGAAGGCGCCTCCATGTACTACGTTATTTACCGCTTGAACGGTGGTGTAGTATTTCCCGTCAGGAAGATGAAGATCTCGAGCGTATCCAGTATATGTCCAAAACCTTTTATCTGAGAGATGTTTGTGGGGATTTTCGAAATTTGAAATTTCCGTTCCGCAAATACTTGTTCCAAACGCCCATGTATATCCAAATATTCCACTTTCTTTATCTGTGAAGGGTCTCCAATTAGCTTTAAAAATAATCAAATGTAAGAGTATGACTTTATGTAAACAAGAGGCCCAAGGGCCTTAGCGATCACCTGAGTATAATGTTTGTTTGTTGGTTTTTTTTGTTTAACGTCCTTCTCGAGAATTTTTCACTCATATGGAGACGCTACCACTTGCCGGTGGAGAGCTGCACATTTTGATCTATATTCGGCACTCAGAGCAATTGAGCAGTGAGGGATCTTTTTCGTGCCAACACCTACTGCGACACGGGACCTTGGTTTATACGGTCTCATCCGAAGGACGGGTCCACAAGTCCCACAGTGGGATTCGAACCCGCAACGTAAGGATCAACTCCTTACTCTGCGACTCTAGAACAAGGGCTCTAACCACTGCGCCACGCGGGCGACCTGGGTATAATGTAACGATCCATAGATTAAAACAAAACAAATGATAAAGCAAAATATTAATTTAGTACTCAATAACAAATCTTTAAGTTGATCTTTTTATTTGCATGTACTTTTCCCCATTTGTCACTATCCTCATGCGGACTAAATAAAGCAATAGCTCTAGAGCACTTTTAGTTGACAGATTTCATTCCCCTCGGAATGGCCTCTCTTTGAAGATTATTTATTGTACAAAGATATGGTATTTTTGTCCCATTTTCATATATCTATTATCTAAGAGTTTACCTGGCCATTAAAAACTATGAATATCAAAGTACTTTTCTTGTGTAATTCTGTTATTCAATTTACGTTTTAAGTTACATTATTTACAGTGATTAACTATTATAGGTGAATAGCATAGAGGAATAACTTCTCTCAGTAGAAATTGATAAATTAATCAAAGGGTACAGAGTTTCAAGATCTGGTAAAACACCCTTGCTTAATACAACTTTATAAACTCTATTTGCTTCCTAGATGCCCAGGAGCAGTGAAGGAGATTTTCAACTAAATAATCCATTTTCGCTATAGATTCAATACAATATAGCCCCACCCTAATACCAAGCCCCTGACCAAGGGGGCAAGATATTCCCAATTTTGGGAGAGGCATTCTTGCTGATCATAACCATGCACTTAGTATGTTTCCTCAATAACAATGGACAGAGAAGTAGATCTGCAAAGAAATAATGCATTTCTAATAAATATGTTTAAAAGAGCCCTCTCCTAACACAAAAATCCCTAACCCCGGGGTTATGAATTTCGACTTTTTTGAAAAGATTTCCTTACTCGTCATGATCATAACCATGCAATTAGTTTTCTGAAAAATACTCTGGGGCAGAGATGAAGATTTAAAAAAAATGCATAAATAGAACCCCCACCCCGACATGAATCTCTGATCTTGGGGCCACAATTTTGAGAGAGGCATCCTTGAACATCATAACCATACACTTAGTTTCTCTGCTTAATTCCTAGGAGCAGACATTTTCAAAGAATCAATGTATTTTCACTATATAATCAATAGAACCCCTCTCCTGCAGAACCCCTCAGCCTAGAGCTACACATTGCACATTCTAATGTAACTGTGTAATAATGTGATATACGTTTGAGGCAGTTAAATAAACACCAGAACTCCGACCCAGAGGCCAAGAATTTCACAATTTCGGAAGAGGTGACTTTGCTCATCATAACTATATATTTGATTTATCTGCTAAATACCTAGGAGCTGAAAAGAAGATTTTCAAAGAAGTAATGCGATTTCACTATATAATCAATAGACCCCCACCCCATCCCTGATCATTATAACCATGCACCTAGTTTATCTTCTTTATATACAGAGGAGAGAAGAAGATTTTTAAAGAATTTATGCATTTCACCATATGATCAATAGAGCCCAACCCTAACTCCAGAACCCCTGACCCTGGGCTATGAATTTTAAAATTTTGGTAGAGGGCTCAGTGCTTATTACAATCATGCCAACAGTTTGACTGCTTGATGTCAAGGAGTAAAGAAAATTTTTAAAGATTACACTCATTTTGATTCTTTTGGTCCGACCCTTCAGGCCCCAGGGGGCAGCGACCATGAAATTCTCAATTTCTGTTCCTTTACTCCCAGATGTTTTATGCCAAAATTGGTTGAAATTGGTTCAGCAGTTACAGAGAAGAAGCTGAAAATGTTCAAATGTTAACACACGATGCACAGCGCATGACGCACGAAGACGGACGAAGACCGATAGCAATAGGTCACCTGAGTGATTCAGTTGACCTAAAATAGAAAAACAAGTATGTACCTGAAGCAAAATGATTTGTCAAGGTATATCTTGTTTCCATTTGTGGATGATGTCCATTGTAGATTGTCTCTGCATTTTCTCCATCTATTATTTTTCTACAGTGGAAAAAAGAGTCCATGGGCCTTGACGGTTGGCTGAACATCATGAGTTTCACACATTAATACATAAACATGTAACTTCTGGAATCATGTTACATTGTTCATTTTCACGATCATGAAGTTTGTCGACAAGGAGTAAAGATTTTCAGAACATTTAAAATTACGAAGTATGATTAATTTTTCTCCACCCTGGGACATATTTTTAAGAGAGAGAGAGAGAGAAAGAGAAGTTACCCAGATCCGGGGAAGATGCTGAAGAGGTATAGAGAAATTTCAATTATGACATCCCTTGGAGGAGATAGAGTTAACAATTTTAATAGAGAGTTAAGAAAGTATTATAGTCATGCAGCCAGCTGGCATGCCATATGTCCTGGAGTAGAGAGGGAGATTTTCTAATTTGCAGGTCACTAGAAATATAGAAACTAAATATTTTAAAAATTTGTTTAACATGTTTGTAAGTTAATTATGACGGATGAAGGATATCGCACGTAGGTTGACAAGAACACATGGCAATAGGTCACCTGAAAGATTCGGGTGACCTGAAAAAAAAAATATATGAAAAATCTTTACTGTGCAAATTAATTTAAAAATGTACATTATGGCAAGGAAAATATTGGATTGAACAAAGGTACCTATGATTATTCTTCCATGTAACATCTTCACATCTTTGAATTATTGATGCTTGACATTTGTCAGCAGAAAGTCGATCTTGAGTGGCATGCCCAATGAAGTTGGGTTCCGGTGGAGTAAAGTCAACAATGGTTCCTTTGGATGACAGGATACTTTTGTACATCAATACGTTTGTAATTTCTGCATTGATAAAGTACCTTTCACCATGAACTAAATCAAAGTTTGCTTCAAATGAATGTGTGTTCATTAAATCTGTCCGTTCAAAATGTTTGTATGTACCACTCAATCTGATATCAGCGCGTGGTCCTTCAATGACGGAATGAAGGTCACATATTTCCGAATGGAACTCATAATCGAAAGAGATGCAATTTTCACCGGTATCTATACACTGAAGTGCACACACTTTTCTGTCTTTTGTTTTTAATGATTTTAGCGGTTTGGTATTGAGTTTCCCTGTTTTGCCTTTTCCAAATGATTTAACAGGGTCAGTTTCTTTATGGGTATTTGTGAAGTTGAAATGGAACCACTCACTATATTGATTTCCTTTATATCCTTGTGATTGTCCAATTGCATACCTCTGGACAAATTTCAGTGAAGAGTCATCAAACACGACTAAAGTGCCACCGATCTTATGTGGGTGGCTGGTGTAAAGGTAATGAACATCAATGCGTCCATCAGGAAGTGTATTATCGTAAGTGTGTAATCTGCACTGAGTTGTAATTGTTTGTCCATCTGTCGTTGTACCTTTAACCATCCAATAAAGTGGAACGCCATTTGGTAGCTTAAGTGGAGAAAAAAGACCAGGTTTTTGCAGTTTAGACCACTTGTGAACATCCATTCTCCCTAGTGTAGTACCTATGGCGAAGGTAAGAGAGAGTTCCCCTAATGAGGAAGCTAATCCTGATGACAGAAAGAAGGCAGGATTTGTGGGATCTCTTTCCGGTACCTGATATACGCTACATCCACTCGAGATGCTTCTTTTATTTTTCAAGATTTTTTGCTTTTGTATTTTGAAGTCATAACTGGGTCCCTCAATTATTGTAGGCCTACCAGCTTGCTTGACTACTCTCATTAAATTTGCATGGAAAGGAAACAATTTGATAGACCATATGTTTTGATCAAATATTTTGTTTTCCCAAGATAGAATCCGAAGATACACAACTGCACTGAGCTTTATCTCCAGTGGGACTACATCCAAATCAATGGAAAATCTAAAAAGAAAATTGTATATGTCTAGCAAATATTTAAACATACATATGGTTTTGAGAACTTGACGACCCGGAGGTTTGTTGAATTGGATTTAAAACAACCAAATTTTCAATGTTTTCTTTCATAAATGCATGATGTTTTTTTTTTAAAACCAAAATATTCCACTTATCTGGACCCACGTTTTGTCTTCATTTTTATTCAGTTGTCGAAATGTCTGTAAATGACCACTTAAAGAGCACTGGGGCTTTTTTTTTTATTAATCTTACAATGACATTTCATGGGTCATTCAATGGCCATTCCCTCATCTCGTGAATTTAAATTCTATTTCATATAAATGCTTACGGAAAAAGTTATCCGTTATTGTGAACACATCCTATATCCAATGACCATGATCGAAACTCATCAAATTTTATACTTTTTAAGAAAGCTGCTGTCAAAAAAGTTTCATCTTTGCTGGTCAAGTGGTTCTCTAAATGATTCAACCCTATTTTGTCTATTTTAGATTATCACCCCCTGGCAATACCAATTATTTAAACAGAATTCAAATCCTTTTATCCATGATACCATGTGCTGAAGGCTGAATTGGTCAAAAGGTTCTAAGGAGAAGAAAGGTTATAACGACGACAGACAACATTTAAATTTAAATAAAAAAACTCGCTGGAGTTTTCGGATCAGTAGATCAAAACGTATTTTCAAGTAGATATTTGTAAGTTGCTTGACTATTTAAAGACTATGCCTAATAAAGTAAATCCAATTTAATAAGAGAAAGAAGGGAAAAATATACTTACAGTAAAGTTACTGGAGGTTTATTCCAAATTACATTGAATGAAATATATAGGGATATTTGCAGTATTCTTCCTTCAATACGAATGCCACCAAAAGCAATAAGTACATCAATTCCAAATTCTCCATATACCACAGCTCCAAGATTTGGACCAGTGTTTATCTTTAATGAAAAAATATCTTTCTCTTCTTCAAAAATTATTGAATAAGTACATTTTTTATCAATTCCATAAAATCCTCAGCTTAAAGGAATTAAAATATTGACGACATACTTATAAGAAAAAGTTCAATCAACTGAAGTTTATTACCCTAAACACTTTTGACATAAAACATGAAGTAACTCCCGCCGTAAATCCAACACTTGCGTCCGCACCTAGGACTAGACAAGGAAAATAAAATCCATATATATATATATATATATATATATATATATATATATATATATATATATATATATATATATATATATATATATATATATATATATATATATATATATATATATATATTAATATTTCTTCACTTAGGGCAGTTATGTTAGTTTAAGAGTTGTTGTAAAATGTGCTTTATAAATAAAATTAAATTTCATTACAACGTGTATTGGTAACGATCCTCTGATAAAACTAATGTCCAAAAAACTGTATCTCACTTCTCACTTCCATTCTCAATGACCGTGTAGTGTAGGACAGCGCCGCGAGAATTCCATCGACATCGAAAGCAAGTTTTTTGACTTGCCTAGATAGCCGAGCGGTCTAGCGCGCCGTTCCTGTACTGCTAGGAGACAGATTCCGCAGGTCGAGAGTTCAACCCCGGGCTGGGGCGGAAGTGGGTATCCTTATAAAAAGTGAATTTCTCTGTGCTTTCTATATATATATATATATATATATATATATATATATATATATATATATATATGCGTCTGTTTTGTTTGTTGCTTGCTGCTTGTTCGTAATGTTGATTGTTTTATTTTGTTCAATTTGGTTTTATACATATACAAGGGTTGGTAAAAGTTTGCAAACACGTTAATTTACGGATAAATTATTGTGTGCTTTGAAGAATGACTTTTGTCTATTTTTATGTAAAATACCAGGTCTTTTTACTACAATTTTGAAAATATACAATGGTTTTTACTGTCATGGGATTCACGGAGCAGTCAACTGACATTTTTTTGACGTTAGTTTAAGTATACATGTATAGTAACACCCTGATTCCAAACCAGTCAAGCTTTTTCACAGTTATTAATATCTTTCAGGTCTATAGACTTTTCAAATCTTTTTCTTACATAAAAATTGAATGATTATAGCAAGACTTTACTTTCACTTATCCGCGATTTTTTTTTTTTTTTTTTTTTTTTTTTTTTTTTTTTGACAACCTTCATATAAAGAGCTTTGGTTTAATCAAAGTTGAATCCACACATCATTGGGATACTGTAATATCAATACGATGAACATGACCCTGATATTCTGGAGAAGATTTTTGTCAGTGGCCTGCCTCGGTTAAAAATTTTAAACATGGAATTAACCTTTGGTCGCATGAGTTGTTTAAAATGTAAAATTATTTAAAAAAAAGAAAAAGAGGACATTAGAGTTGAAATTTTTTTGGATGAAAATAATATTTTTGAATTCTACTGTAATTTCTTTTGAGATGCTGTTTTCCTTCTACAATCATACAGATATGGTGGTTTCTCAAACATTAATGACACAGTAGTACATGATTGATGAATTATATGTATTATCTTGAAAGAATAAACAAATAAGAATGGTTCTGTCATGGCATTATTTTGGTTTTACATCATATTTACATTATAAAGCAATAGTAAAATATTTTAGCAATTGTCAATGATTAAGCGCCGATCCTCAGTATGGCACTCGGTGCATAAAGTTTCCAGAGGAACAACATGGTGTTGACAACCCTGGAGGGAAAACAGAAATTGCCAGGGATGGCTCGTTGCAAAATTCTACCATACGTCGGCATGGAGTGCAGCCTAAATTCATCACTGAAGCCATGACGGTGGTTGAGATGACATTAGGATCATAAAATGTTAACAGCGAAGGCACAGAAACAACTACTAAACTTTTACTACAAAGATTTTGACTCAAAAAGGCCTATGCTGAAAAACTATATCGAAATACCTAACTAATGTGAGGGAAATGGATCTACATGTGTGAAATGATTGGTGGAGATAAAAGAAATGGTTGGTGGGGTTTAGGAATGTCTGAAATGGTGAGGATGGGTGAGTGCTGGAAATCAATGTAGTCAAAAGGATCTTCTTTGAAAAATGGCATAGCGCACATGCTGTTAAGTGCAATTAAAGCAACCAAAAAATAAATCGAATGAATCTTAAACTTCTATTTGATGCTATAAAGAGTGGTACATGCATAAGAAAAAGAAGAAAATAACAAATGGTGACCGATCTCAAAAGCCTTGTAAGCAATACCTATCGTAAACAGGGCAGAAACTTAGACAAGTGGAAACAACCGATGCGAGATCAGGTTCTTAGGAAGTCGCACAAGCCGTGACCCTCTGTTATCGCGTAAGCGAGTTATCTAATGTTCTCTGTAATGGTTGCAACCCTTAATCTGCGCCTTTACACACAAAGACACATATATTTATATCTGTATAAATTCATTTATAAGGTGGCTGTAAGTTCGCATGTATTTCAATGAACCCTTATAGACAGAATAAAAATAAATTTGAAAATTTCATTTAGGTATAATATTTATAGTTATTAATTAAGGCAAAAGTTACTTGCCGATTAATCGCTAATAAAACACAGACCGCCGATTCAATTATTTTTTTTATAGATAACAGGTGTCCTCTAGGGGTACTGAGATGAAGTATACAATGTATCGTACGATAAAGTTGGGAACGAATGATGTTGAATAATAAATTTATGAAACATCTTACCAAGGACTAAAGGTAAAGGTCCAATTGGATAAGGAATTTCCTCTTTGAAAATTGGGTAGTCGAAATGGAAGCCAATGCTTACTCCAGCACATATATCGTCTAATGAAAACGTCAACGAGACAGAAACCCCTACTTTGACTTTCTTCTTCTTTTTTTTGTCTCTTCTTCTATTTCGATTGTTTCTGCTATCTCTTTGTTGTGTTATGTGGCTTTTTATAGCTTTCATTGCAATGATAAAACTGTTGTATATATGTTTTATTTTAGACATCACTGAACCTTTTTGTATCGGGTTCCGTGGATTTTTCGGTCTTCTAAATTCTTCTTTAATTTTGCCAAGTGTTTCAATCTGTGCATTCTTTCTGATCTCTTTTGAGGGAACAACAGTCTATAAAAATATAAGAATAGAGATGAATTGCTACGACTATCATTACTTTTGAATTTTTACATACACTAAATATTAATTCCTTTATTTCTTATGAAAACCATTGCTGTGTATCAGAAAATATTTACATTTGCAAATGTTTTCTTTTATATAACACTATTAAAAGCAACGCATATCTATATCCGTATAAACACGGGTTCCTCGCGTCATAATCGTTCGACGTAATTTCTCAGTGACGTCATAAAGGGTCGACGCGCAATCAATAGATCAAACTGGTGCCGTTGAGTTTGAAAAAATAAAACATTTCACGCGTTAAAGGTTATAATCAGGCTAATATATAATATGAATAAGTCACAAATGTAAATATAAGTAATAAGGTATCATTTAAAAACATCTATCGGGATATAAATACGGGTTGGTACGAGATCAAATTTACCATAAAGCCCTTTGGGCTTTATGGAATTTGATCTCGTGACCAACCCGTATTTATATCCCGATATATGTTTAAAAATGATACCTTATTTCTTAAGTAAACGACACTAAGCACACCACCTGCA